CCAGAGGGAACGAGAAAACAGAATAGGCACGTGAAGAAGCCAAGCAAGGGTGCAAGGTCAGTTGAGGTCATGCAAAATGTAGGTTTATTCCCCTCTGGGGCACTCTGGGTTCCCAACTAACCCTCAAAGTCATCCTGACCTGTAGTTACAGGACTAGGCTCTCACATGCCCATACCCTTCTTTCACTGGCTCAGAGCCACCCTGGGGAAGTAGCTCCCAAGGCAGTCCTCCAAAGAGGAGTTTAAAGGAATACCACTGCATGCCAAGGTCTATCACAGTAAGGGAAGGGGAAATCTGTGGGCATAATGGCAGTGCCCAGTGCCATCTCCTGGGACCAGTTCCAGGTGTTGGGCAGGAAATGAACAATGGTCCTGGAACAGGGCAGACATAAGACCCAGGAAGCTGCCAAAAATGACCACAGCATGTGAGAAGGACAAAAAGCAAACTTGAAGGGGCTTCCCAAGCTGAGATAGGACTACTTAAGAATCAAAAGTAACAGTAACTTCAAAGGACCAAAATACATCAAACACATTAAAATCCAAATTTTCATAATTTTCTTAAACTCACTGGTATATTTGGAGTTGCTAGGGTATTGATTCATTATTTTGAAACCTCATAACTACAAGGGATAGAATTAACCATGTCCTTGCTAAATACAAAATACAAACAGCACTTGAAGGTACCCAAATATTTCTTGAGATACAATTTTCATTATAGAAAAGGTCAACATAACAAATGCAGGAAGAATAATGGAATCGTAAATTCACTGTTCTGCAACCCTTGCCTAGCTTATAGATCTAGAAACTATCATCCTTGTCACTGGAACCACCAGGGGAAGAATGGTGGAGAAAATAACAAAGAACGGATCCAGCCGAACCTGCTGATTCACCAAAGATGCCCAGAGAGGCAGCAGGCATGCCACCGCCCCAACACTATACAACAGGAAGTGGCCCCACCATTCATGGTGCTCACAGAAAGAACTGAACTAGATTCTTCCTAATCAAGTCTCTAGATACACAGTTGTCAGACAGGGGCTATCTGGCAAGGTCTAGAGATATCTTTTGGTTCTCACAATGAGAGTGCCACAGGCATCTATTGGGCAGAGGCCAGGGATGCTGCTAAACCTCCTGAAACAGGACAGCTGCCAAAATTTCAACAGTGCCAAGGTTCAGAAGCCCTGTTCTGCTCTCACTACCAGCTAATGCGGAGCAGCAAAGTAGAGGAATGTTCTTTATGACACCTGATGGAATCAGGCAGCTCCAGAATATGGCATGCTCCAACAAATAAACAATATGAATAAAAGAGGATGGAGAAGCTGCTATGATAAGGCTTAGACTGATAAAAAGCAAAGTCAAATTTGAGAAACTTGTCTGGATACTGATTCAAACAAAACGTTATTCAAATAAAATGTTATTTCTGAGATAACTACAAAACCTGAACTTGGAAATGGTACTGGATAATACTAAGGAATTACTATCAACATTGCTGAGCGTAATAATGCCACTGTGATTATGTTTAACCCTTAATTGAGATGCCTGCTGACATATTTATACTGGGCATGACACACAGGTGAACAAGACTGGCAAATCTGGATATCAGAGTGGGTGACAGACATGTGGGCTTATTACACTTGTCTCTACTTTCTGTATATTTCAATTTTCCATAATAAAAAGGGCTTTATTTAAGCAGCCACAGAGAGAAGGCAGAGCCACACAAAGGAAAAACAATCTGGGCTAACAACTGGCTTCTTAACAGAACAATGGGAGGCAGAGGACAATGGGATAGTCCAACATGAGGAGAGAAAATAACTAATAGAATCCCATACAAAGGAAAATTGCTTTTCACAAACAATGGCAGAATAACAATTATTCAGGCAAGCTGAGAGAATTTACCACTGTCAAACTTCACTGAAAGAAAAGAAACATGTTCTTCAAGCAGAAGGAAAAGGGGGAGAGAGAAATCCAAATTATGATCTGAAGTACAAGGAGTGATGGAAAATGAAGGAATGAGATCAACAGCAAAAAGGATGAAAAACAGCGTGCAGAGAAATTTGAAAATTTAAACCACACTTATGAATCAAACTCAGAAAAAAGATTTAAAACAAAAACAAAACTATATAGAATTACTATAGAATTACTATATAGAATTTAAGTAATTCTTAAAGTGAAACTTAACTCTTAAAGACAATAGCAAAGTACAAATGCCCAAATGTCCTGAGCTGAACTCCAACTAATAAATAGGAGAAAGGATATTACAATACAGATAAGAAAGTAAAAGGGAGGAATACTAAGAGCAGAAATTAATAAACAAAACAAAAATGTAATGAAGAAGACCAAGAAAGACAACACTGACAACTTACTTAGGGAGACTGAGTTTTGGGGGAAAATGCTTATCAAGGGAGGAGTGAGGAAGGGTATTACAAACACATGGGCCATAACTGCAAACCTACCAGATGCTGGACAAAGAGGCTGGTTCCCACAGATGCACAGCTACCTACACTAACATTTCTCCCTGTGTCCTCCCTAAGCTATGAGCTCAAAAAGGACAGACAACAAAGGCACCCACAGTCTCTGGCATATAGGAGATAAGAAAACCATGCACTTGAACTTACATGGAAAAGGGGAAATAAACATTTGAAACCTGCAGAACCAGGAAGGAATGGTAGGGGTAAGGGAATGTAGCAGATCCTAATGAAGTGGAATATGGGTATCAATTTATTCACCCTCAGAAGAGAAATTCTGGGCCAGACCACTAGACCTGCAGATTTAAAAGGAAGGGGCTTGGGAAGTCCCTGGGGCTGGTGGAGACCACCTAGACCCTGCTCCTGGAAGAAAAAAAAGAGCAACTCCAGTGGCTAAGGTCAAGGTCACTGCTGAGGTATGCAATTACCAGAGAATTAAAACCAGGCAAAGCCCTCCCCAAATCCAGACAAAGAAGCCAAATTTCATCGTACTAACAGGAGAGGGTGCTCTTGGACTAGAAAGCAAGTATGCTCCCTGAAATCCTCTCCTGAACTCCACAGACTCGCATCCAGAATTCGGAATCCTGCTGGCCCAGGAAAATTTAACACATTTTATCCTTATCTGAAAAAAGAGTCCAACATCCATACAAAGCTTCTATAAGAAGAAAACAGAAAGTAAAGGTAAAAATTATTCAGCTAATGAAAATACTCCACACACAAAAAAAAAACCTGCAAAGCAGAAAAAAACTAAAACAGTTCTCCAACATGAAACGAATGCAATTACACACCAACTGCCAAAGGGAAAGAACACCGAACCAGACTCGAATACTCACAAGAAAGACGGTGGACAGTTGGGAGGTGGGAGATGAGAGTTAACCAAACTCAAAAGTGAAGAAAAGACAAAATCACCTCAGAAATGAAATTGAACAGAAAATCAAAATCATTTCAGAAAGCACAAGAAGCCCATGGGAGAGTGGATGTGAGTGAAAGTGTAGCAAGGCAAAAAGAAGATGAGAGTGAAATAAGCCAAGAGAAAATACAAAATAAGGAATGAGTTTTTAAAAGGGTTAGAAAAAAAGTTACATGTAAGGTGGGCAAAGTAGATCCAACTTATATAAACTTGAGCGTCTGATACTTAAAATGTGACAGAATAATTAAAACAATGATCCCAGAAATTTTTCCTGAAATGAAATATCATCTATCATCACATATCAAGAGGTCATTCAACAAATGGTAATGAAATGACTGATCATCCATAAGAAGTGGGCAATGGGGAAGACCCTCAGTCCCTACCTCAACCATGTATAAAAATAACTTAAGACTTCAGCTTCTGAAAAGATGAAGTAAGTATTTTCCCCCATTCATCCCACTAAGCACAAGTACATATACACAACCCTAAGATTGTGCATGAGGCTCTGAGTTCAAACCCAAGTGTGGAAGGAAGAAGGAAGAAGGAAGAGGAGGGGGGGTGGGGAGCAGGAAGAGAACAAGAAGAAGATTGTGGAACGTGAAGAGAAGAAGGAAGACTGGCTAGGAAACCTTGGGATCCAAGGAATGACACAGTACATTTTTCTTTTCTAGATTTTATGCCTCATATATATATATCAGACTTGGAGCTAGAGAGGCTAGCAACCCATAAATGCCAATAGGTAGCAATCACTACCTACACACAAATTCCGCAGGGGGAGGTGGGGGACTGTGGCCCTACCTCCACTCATACCAGCAGAGGCTGAGGACTGAGGACTGAGAATGAAGCCTAGACTTCCATCCTCATTGCCTATGAGGCATCCCAAAGCTCTCGTTAGGGTAGGATGAGAGATAGGCAAGTGGGAGCAGGAGCGTTCATCCCACCCTAGGGTAACCCAGCAATATCCGTGAGGATCATGTGGGGACCCTGAACCTCGAGTCTCACCAGCAGCAATGAGGTACCTTCTCACCCCAGCAAGACCTATTATAAAGCCATGACTTTTATTACCACCCAGCAGTAATTAGATCTATCCCAATTTCAGTGGAAGCCACATGGGGAGCACTGACCAGTTCTCCGACCTCTACAAGCCAACCTTGTGTCAGTGGAGGCCTGGTAGAAAGCTGGGACACCCACGTTAGCCCCAGCAGTAATGGGGAGTCTCCTCCAATTGCTGTCAGCGGAAGCCAAGTCAGAACCTGTCTCCAACCCCACCTGGGACTAACGAGGCAGCTCCCAACTCTCCCTCTGGAAAATGTGTCATAGCAAAGAAGTCAAAATAGAAAATTTAAACAAGACTCAGGCTCATGACATAACACCAAGTATCCAGATTTCAATAAAAAATCACTCATCACACCAAGAACCAGGAAGTCGACTTGAATGAGAAAAGACAATCAACAGACATGGGAACAACAGATGACAGAACTACTGGACAAAGAATGAAAAACCACCATCATAAAAACACTCACCAGACAGCTAAAAATGCATATGAACTATAGAAAATCTCAGCAAAAAGAAGATATGAAGTCCAAATAAAAACTTACAATTGAAGAGCATAATAACTGAAATTAAACACTTGATAGATGAGCTCAACTGCAAAATGGAAATCATGGAGGAAAGAATCAGTTAACTGGGAGATACGAAAATAGAAATTACCCAGTCTGAACAACAGAGAGAAAATAGACCAAAAAAAAAAAAAATGCTCAGGAGACTTCAGGAATATTTAAAAAAAAAAAAAAGGATTTAACATTTGTGTCATCAGAGTCCTGGAATGAAAAAGAGAAAGGGCTCAAAGACATAATGGATGAAATATTTCCAAATTTGGCAAAAGACATTAACCTACAGATTTGAGAAGTTCAGTGAACCCCAAATAGGACAAATTTGAAGAAACCCACACCAAAATGCATCGTATTCAAACTTCTGAAATATAAAGACAAAGAAAACACCTTGAAAGCAGCGAGAGAGAAACAACATCTTACCTATAAGAAGAAAACAATTCGAATGACAGTGGATTTCTCATCAAAACCATGGAGGTCAGAAGAAGAGGCACACGTTTTTTCAAGTGCTGAAAAAAAAAGAACTGTCAACCCAAAATTCTATACCCAGTGAAAATATCCTTCAGGAATGAAGGGAAAATCAAGACATTCTCAGATGAAGGAAAACTAAGAAACTGTCACCTGCAGACCTATCCTAAAAGATGGCTGAAGAAGGCCCTCCATACAGAAAATATTTTATGAAAGAAGACATTTGAGTATCAGGAAAGAAGGAAGAAAAAGAGGAGAAAATATGAATAAACGTAACAAGCTTTCTTTCTCCTCTTGAGTTTCCAAAATTATGTTTGAGACTGAAGTGAAAATTACAACACACTCTGATGTGGTTCTACATTTATATAAAGGAGATATTTAAGACTACTATGTTATAAATACAAAGCAAACTTCATTCAAACTGGTAAAATTATGACATCAGGAAATGGGCAGTTAGGTAAATACAATGTAATACCTAAAACAACCACTAAGAAGTGTTCTAAAATATGTTCAAGTAACCCGTCCCTTCTGAAAGTCAGGAAAAAGAAACAAAATGAATGAAAAACAGAAAGAACAAACAGAAAAACAGGATAACAAATTTAAGCCTATCAGTAATTATATTAAATATAAAAGTTCCAAATATGTCAAATAAAAGATATAATTGACAGAATGGATTAAAAACCCAACCTAACATGCTGTCTACAAGAAAAATCACTTCAACTATAACTGTATAGCTAGGCTGAAAATAAAAGGTGAAAAAAGATAGACCATGCAAATATTAATCATAAAAGCAAGAGTAGATATATTAATATAAGATAAAATGGGTTTCAGAAAAAAGAAAATTACCAGGTCCAGAAAAGGGCATTACACAACGATAAAAGGGGCTCCTCCGAGAAGACACGGAAACCCTGAATGCATATGTATGTAACAACATAAATGCACATATGAGAAGCAACAACTTAGAATGTGAGAGACAGGTAAATCAACATCTATAGCTGGAGATCTGAGCATCCCTTGTTCAACCACTGCCAGATCTAGACAGAAAACAGCACCCACACAGAGAAGCTCAATAACACTGACACCAAACAGCATGGACCTGGCCCAGGACGCAACATTACAGATGTTCTACCCAACAACAGCCAAACACATGTTCTTGTCCAACACCCACAGAACATACATGCCATGCCATACCCTGGGACAAAACAAACCTCAACCGGCTTAAAGAAATAACACAGAGTGTAGTCACCAACCATAAAGTAATCAAAATAGGAGTTTATGACAGAAAGGAGGCAGAAAAATAAGCCACATACTTCTGAATAACCCATCAGTCAAAAAGGAGGTCTCAGGGAAAATTTTAAAATAGAACTGAACAAAAACTAAAATATATCTCATGGAAAGCTATGGCACACAGCAGAAGCAGTGCCAAGAGGGAACATACGGCACTAAATATTTACATTGGAAAAAGGAAAAGATTCAAGCTAATAATCTAAGCTCCCTCTACAAGAAACTAAAAAAGAGGAACAAAACAAGCAGAAAGCAAACAGAAGGAGGATAATAAAGAGGAGAAATCAAAAATAAAATAATAAGCAAAAATCAATGAAACAAGAATCTGGTTCTTTGGAAAGATCAATACAAGCAACAAGTGACTAGCAAGATTGACAAAAAGAAAAGAGAGAAGACAAAACATTTCCAACACTAGGGAAAGCAGAAAGGAGCAGGGACTATCACTACATCTGCAGACTCAAAAGAATACTAAGGAAATACAGCAAATACCCGAAACGTGAACGTGGCAACTTAAATGAAAGTTGCCACTTTCTCAGAAAGTACAACTACACCTCACAACTTCACCTGATGTGAAACACATAGCACAGTGCTGGAATTGTTAAGGAAGCTGAAGTTTTTCATTTAAAAACTCCAAAATGACATTTTTCTCAGCAAATTACACCAAATATTCACAGAAAATTCAACATAATTTATTTTGAAAAATATAAGAGGGAACGATCCCATTAAATTAAAACCACTTCATCTACCCACTGTTACTCCAATACCCAAACCAGGCAAGGACAATCTGAAAAAGAAAACTACAAAGCAATAATATCCCTTGTGAATTTAGAGACAAAATTTCTCAATGAAGTATTAGCAAATAGAATTGGGCAATATACAAAAATAATTATATGCAATAACCAGTAGGGCTTATCCCAGGGATGCGTGACCAGTTTACTATCACAATCATAGTAACAGAAGAAAAATCACATGATCACCTATTAATTGACATAGAAAATGATTTGATAAAATTCAACAACCACTCATTATAAAATTCCTGGAAAAAGAAGAATGGAGGGAGAACTTCCTCAACTTGATAAAGAACATCTACCAAGAAAATTACGTCAAATGGTGAAAAAATGGTCCTTCCCAGAGGAGACAGGAGAAGCGAAGATGTCAGTTCTCGACACAGTTCCACATAGCACTGGATCACAGCCAGTGCATGACAGAAGAAGAGGGAGTAAGAGGAACACACACTGCTCATTTCCAGGTGACTCTCCACATAGAAAATTCCAAAGGATCCACACAAACATTGGTCTCGGGCAAGCATAACCAAAATTATGTAATTTATTAAAATAAAGATACCAAATGCCAGAATATGTAGGACATAACTAAATTAGTAATCAGAGGAAAAGTCAAACCTTAAATAATCACATAATAAAAATTAAAGAATAGAATAAATGAAACATGCAACTCAAGAAGAAGGAACCACAAAGTAAAACAACAGAAAGGAGGAAAATAATAAAGACAAAATGGAAAGTGGTGATTTTTTAAATAAACCACAATAGAATAAATAAATAAATTTAAATGCTAGTTTTCAGTTTATAAAAATCTAGAAAATGTATAAACCACTAACTAATCAAGAAAAAAGGGGAAAACACAAAAGTTCCTAGTATAAAAATGACAAGGGGAAAAAACACTGAGCCAGAGAGAAATTAAAAGTTTATGTAAATAGGTTGGAAAACCTAGATCAAATGGAAAATTTTTAGGAAAATAAAATTTATCAAACTGATCCCAGGAGACCACAATGTTTAAGGAGACCAATATCAAAAGAACTATCCTATAAGAAAGGGCACGCATAGATATTTTCACAAGAGAATTCCACCAAACATTTAAAGACCAAGTAATTCTAATGCTACATGAACTGCCCCAGCACACAAGAAAGCATTCTACTGTTTTTTTAGGAACTAGTAATAGGCATATTCACAGAAGAGTTCCTCACTCCCAGCTTCTCAGGAGAAAGTCCCTAAGTTCCATAATGCCCCAAACTTCTATCACTCAGTGTTGTTAGATTTCTTACTGATGTTCATGTAGGAGATATGTACATACTCCAAAACTCAATGCAAGCTGGCAGAGTGGCTCAAGTGGTAGAGTGCCTGCCTAGTTCAAAACTCAATGCAATATTTTTAACAGAGTAAGGTGAGAGGGATATTCTCAGGCAAGAGTCCAAATTTAGCTAGTAGATAACCAGATTCATGTATGAACATTCTTGCAAAGTACAAAAAGTTTCAATAAAGAAAGTGTCCAAAGCAATTGCTTTAAAATCCATCTTAACTGGTGATCAGGAAAAACAGGTTAAGCCTGTGACTTCCCTGTGTTTAACTGAGCTTTAGTTATACCTTAGGAAATTGGGGGTTTTAATGTATCATAATGACATATGATACATTATAATTTTTTACCATCTAAAGTGATGAGAAAAGGGCAGGGGAGTAGCTCAATAGAAGAGCCCTGGCCTAGTATGTGCAAGGCTCTGGTTTCAATCCCCAGCACCACAAAAGTAAAATAGACAATAAAATAATGTAATAAAATAAAATAAAGCTCCCATCTGGAATGGGATTTTTAGGAATGGAGTGGTGAAACCAGTTAAACAAGAGGTAACTATATGGCATTAATGTCTAAACCTTATGGTTAAACACAATCGAAGAGAGCTTTATTAATCACTTAAAAGTGTCAGTCTAAAAGTCTTGCATAAAATATTAAACAGAATCCACAGCACATTAAAAAATAAATATAATAATCAAGTGAGGTTTATTGTAAGAGTCTAAGAGAGTCCCACACCAGGAAATTCATTTCTATATATCTCGATATTTAGGAGAAAAAATAAGATCTCTGTGGATGCTAAAAGACCTTCAACAAAATTCAACATCTTTACCAGATTTTTTTAAACCTTTTTTTACTATTAATTCTTAATAGTAAAAGTTTAATTAACAGTTTACTATGAATTCTTATTTTAGTAATAAGAATTAATGGATACTGAAACATTATTTTATACACAGACACCTCTCAGGCCCCAGACCAGGCTCTTTAACTCAGAAACTAACTCCAGTGTCACCAACAGTGTTTCAGCCAGTACAATCAGACAAATGAATAATAATGAGAGGCCCAAGACTTGGAAAGGAAGAGTTAGAACTAGAAGTTTTGGTAAAAACTTGAAAAAAAACAAGGAGAAGCAACACTAAAGCTAATACACAATTTGAGGATTCAGAAAAGTACACAGAATCAACATATAAAAATCACTAGGCTAGATTTCTGCGTGTAGCAGAAGTGATAATAGGAACTAGATTAACTTCTAAGAGTAGCAATCAAAAACACTAAACATGCCCCATCACCTCATCACTCAGCGGAGGCAGGACATTGGGAGCTGAGGCCAGCCTGGGCTACCTAGTAAGACCGTGTCTCAAAAAAGAAAAAAAAAACAAAACAACATTCAGAGAATAAAAAGTCAAGCCATAGAGTAGGGGAAAATATTTGTAAAACATGTCTGATAAAATAAAAAGAACTCTTAAAATGCAACAATTATGAATTGAACAACTCAATTAAGAAGTGGACAGAAGATCTGTATAGGAATGTCACCAAAGAAGATACACAAATGGCAAGCAAGTCTGTTACAAGATGCTCAACATCATAGGCCATTAGGAAAGTGCAAAGTAAAACTCACTACACATGTAATTAGAGAGCAGTTCAGTTCTGAAACTGACGGCACGTGCTGCTGAGGGTGTACAGTACCTGCAGGTCTGCTTCATTGCTGCTGGGAATATAACATGGTGCAGCCACTACAGTCTTACCACACAACCTAACAATCATGTTCTTACATATTTAGTCAAACCAGTTGAAAACTTAAGTCTACACAAAAACATGAATACGAATGTCTATTCATAATTGCCAACATTGGAAGTAAAGACGATGTCCTTCAAAAGGCGAATGGATAAACTGTGGTGCACCACGCAATGGAATTTTAATCCAGTGTTAAAAAGAAATAACCTACCAAGACATACAATGACATGGAAGAACCTTCAGTGTGCAATGCTAAATGAAAGAAGCCAACCTGAAAAGGTATATACTATGATTCCAGTTATGTGACATTCTGAAAAAAGGCAAAACCATAGAGACAGTAAAAGACCAGTGGATGCTAGTGACAGTGGAGAGCAAGAGGGTACAGAGAAGCCACATGGGACTCCTGTGAACACAGGTGGGACCCTAGGGCTCATCCTCAGGCTATTCCAGAGAGAATCAGAGGAGGAAGCTGGAAAGACAGACTCCCTTGTGTCCAAGTGAAACAAGAATGGACCAGGATCAGATTTCTTCTGTGGAAGCTAAGAGGAAGGAAAGACTTAGCAGCTAAAGATGTCATCCTCCACTGTTCTACCTGGGACTGTGCCCAGGTCCACAGACCTTATGAGGGTGCCTAAGCTAGGAAGACTGTATGTGAATGTTGTCGTGTGTGGCTGTGTCTGCAAACTTGGGCATATGTGTAGGGCACATGATGGAGCTTACTGGTCTACTCCAGAGCTCAAGGCTTCACTGGTTTTCCAGAAAGCCTTCCCCTCTTCCTCAGGATGTTTTCACTGTACCGAGGCTCCTTCTTGTACTTGTGAAGTGCCCACACACCTTCCCCACTGGAAGAGGGTCACATCAGTCACCTGAAGTGTCTCCCCACTTGTTCACCATGCTCTCAGTGCCTGTTCCCTCAGGGTCACACGCATGCAAGTAAGCAAGGGAAGAAAGAGGGCAGCTCAGCAAAGGCAGGCCCATGGGGGCACATAAGTGGGTGGGAGACAACTATGAGATCCTCCTCCTTACCCACCAGCTCTTGGCCCCAGTCCGTGACCATCGTCCTTAACAGCTTTTGTGCAACCATAAGGACTGTGACCATTCTACATCTTATGGTCTATCTTTTCGGCAAGACTGGCCTCCCCACAATGTTTTCAGCACTTTCACACTGGGCATGGCAGCAGCCACAACTCAAAAGACATTTTTGAAAGGGGGAAGAATGAAACTTAACCTTCAGTTGTCTCTGGGGCACTAGAAAGCAGAGGCAAGGGATATATGCTTATAGCAAAGGACTTTCTCTCCAGTTGGCAAAACAATTGACAGAGACAGTCTGGGTTCCCAGCAGCTGCTGAGGAGCCACAGGAAAGGGGGCAGCTGGACCTGCACCACTAGTACAGGAAGATACTCACTGGGAACCACTGTGGACTCCCCAGGGGGACTCGTCAGCGTCACTGGAATGTGCACAGCAGTGCTTAGGTCTGCAGGTTGACTGCCCATCCGAGTGACATTCCGCTGGTTGTCTGCATCCTCTGGCTGTTCCTCCACCTTCTGGAGACAGGTACTGGGCAGTGTGTGCACAGGGCCCACACCTGTCACCCCACTGGCCTCCAGGTCACAGTGAGGCTCCCTGAAACCAAGAACACACATTAGTCTAATGCAGGATTCAAAAACTCTGCTCCTTATACTTATACCTCTACCCAAGCCAAGTAAGTAAATCTTGGACTACCTCTTTGCTGCTCTGGCATTTTGTATGGTTTCCATCACCCTGTGTACTTCTGAGACTTCAGGTTGGAAAGGTAGATATAGGACTGACTCATCTGTCTGTCCCTGGCACAGAACTAGGCACTGCTAATATCACAGTATATGTGGATCAAAGCTGTTAGCTGAATGAAGCAGTCTGGAGCAGGGTGCTTCCCTAAGCCACCAGCCAGTTGCCTTACCAGGCCAAGGGCCCAGCTCAGACCTTTGCACTCACAGACAAGGCCTCAGTTGGACTGATCCTAGTGTAGCCTCCAGCTGCACCTGTTTTGGCTGGTTTGTGCCCAGTCAGCAAACAGAGACATTAGCTTCAGCTCTTGTCCCCAGTAAGAGCCAGGGACCAAGTATGTAAAGGAAGGGGACTTGGAGGGGGGCTTTCTGTGGTGGGCATACAGCCTGGTTCCCAGGGTTGTTCCATCCTGCCCAGCAGCCTCCTCTTGCTTCTCTCAAGCCCTGCAGCCTCTACTTCCCCCTCAGTACTCCCCAATTCTCTTCTTCCAGGGCCACCCTGTCAAGGTCAACGTGTACCCAGTACCCCCAGTTTTCTCCTAAGCCTTCTGTCCCTCCTTAAAATTGATGGCTAGCATTCATTGATCACACACTGGCTGCCAATTAGGGGCAGCCTAGTGGGTCACCCTGTCCCTCAGCCAGGGCACTACCGCTCAGCATCACCCCAGGCCAACCCCTCTCCCTCCACAATTCACATATAGGTCCTGACCCCAAGTCTCTATGGTCACCAAGCCGGCTCTGGCAGCTTACATACTTGGGCTGGTGGTTTCGGGTCTCCTTGTCCCCTTCTGCGATCTCGCCCTCCTTCTCCCCGGCCTCCTTCTCCGCTGGCTCGTGCGTGGGCAACGCCTTGTGCCGCGCGCGGTGCCGCCGCGCGGGTTCCTCGCTCTCCGCCTCCCTGGGGCCAGCCCGGGAGCCCCGGTGCCGCTGGCGCCTCTCTCCCTTGGGGGCGGGCGCAGCACTCTCCTTGCCCGGGTCAGGCACATGCCTGTGGCCACGGTGGCGCCGGGGCTCGCGCTCGGCTGCTTCCTCCGGAGAGCCGCGCCGGTGGTGGCGCCGACCAACCTCAGGGCCCGGGCCGCGGCCGCGCTCGTTCCGCCCCTCGGGAGCACCGGCGGCCTCCTTGCTGCGGCTGCGGTGGGGACGCGCGCGCTCCTCCCGGGCCGCAAGCTCGGTGCTCTCCGCCTTCGGGGCGTCCGCCCTCTCCTGCTCGCCCACGGCGGGGCCCGCGGCCGCAGCCCTGTCCCTGTCACGGTGCCGGTGGTGCCGGCGCGGAGGGTCCGTACCCTCGGTGGCCTCCGCGCCCTCGGTCCGGGTCTTGGCCGCTGCCGTTGGACCCCGCGGGCCGTCCCTGCAAGGCTCCACCACCAGCGGCCGATCCAGGTGCGTCTTCATGTCTGGCCGCAGGTGGCGCGTGGTGGCGTAGCGCAGCCGCTCCTCGGGGTCCATCTCACTGTACAGCGCCTCGCAGCTGGCACGCAGGTTCTGAAGCCGCAACTGGCTGGCCCGCTGCTCCCACACTGAGCGTGCCTTGGCGGAGTTCTGCTGCCTGCTGCGGGGAGACTGTTGGTGAGTGTCGCCTGCCCAGCCCACCTCTCTGTCTTGCAGGGAAGCCACAGATGGACACACAGCAATGGAGGAATGGCAGAGTGGGCGCGGGGAAGATTAGGAGGGAGAGGTGGCAGGAGCCCTCAAGACCCCATACCCAGGGGACTAGAATTCAGCCCCACTTCCCATGGTATCCCTCAGTTCACTGAAGACTGACAGCACCAGGCTGGTGAGGGGACTCAAGGTCACCCCAGAAGATGGCCAGCAGCCCAGAGTCCCAGGGTACAGGGCAGTGGGAATGCTAGGCACCAGCAAGAGTTAGCAGACAGGCTTCAAGTGGGCAGCTGGTCAGGAAGACCAAAACCGAGAGAAGGGAGGAGCATGGTCCAAGTGGAGAAGGGCTGATCAAGTCCCCCTCAGCCTCCCTAGGGAGCTGGCCCTGCTCCAGCACTACAGCAGAGCTGCCCCCGGAGGAGCCAACTAAGTGGCCTCTCTTCCAGAGCCCCTCCCCCATAGTACCTCCCAGGAAGAAAGCCACCAGCCAGAAGGAGAAGGGGACTCAGGAAGAGGCAGGTACAGATGCAAGGCAGACAACAGCCAAGGGAGTGTCTGGCCCTCTCAAGAGCAAACAGAGCCTCAGCTGCTCCCAGAAGTGGCCAGGCAGCCCTGAATGAGGAGCTACTGCTTGGATCAATGACCAGGAACCCAGAAATCAGGTCTGGGGCTGGGAATACTCCCTCCTGTAGCCACCAATGCATTCCTCTCTCTTGGACAGGGAGCCGCTCCCTCCACAGGGAGCAGAGCTAGACATGGTGCTTGGAGCCCTCCAGCACCAGAATGGCCAGTGGTCCACCACAGCCCTCACTGAAAAGGCCAAAGACTTTGATCACCACTCCCACCTCACTGGCCCAGGTACCTCCTGTTTCCATGTCACATGTGCACAGGAAGCTCTTTACATCTTGGGCTTTTTATTGAATGAGACCACTAAAGCAGGTTACCCCCTGCCCCACCTTTGCCAAGCAGAAACCTCATCTGAGGTCAGAGTCTTGTCCTTCAGCCTCTGGGAGCTTCTGGACAACTTTGTCCTGGACAACCTTGGCAGTGGCATCAGTGCTCGAGGCTACATGCCCACTTCATCCAATCCTTATAACCACCTCAAGGACAGGAACTTCCCTTGTGTTCATTTTACAGGGGAGGACACTGCATCTAGAAAGAGGATATGACCTGCTTGGAGTCCACAGTGAGTCACTGATGGAACCAGGATCACAAGCATACAGAAAGGAAGAAGTGCCTAGAAAAGAGACGAGCTTCAGCCAGACCCTGCCCTAAAGCATAGGATACGGCTGCACGATGCCCAGGCCAGCCACCTGCAAGGACAGTCAGTGTGGGAGAAGCCCAGTCCTTGCAGTTGGCCTATCCAGAGTAGATGGACAGCAAATTCTGTCCCTTCTCAATTGTGAGGGAACCACTTCCAGCAGCACCTTATAAATCTGAAATCAGAAACGCACAGTGCCTGTGCCTCACCTAGGAGCTCAGGCGGGGCCCACAGGACAACATGGAGACATCTGCTGCCCCTTGCTCCTCTGAGGCACCAAAGCTTCACTGCCCCCACTCACAAGGGTGCCTACAACAGCCTCACAGGGTTCCCACACCCCCATCTGGGCCCATCTTTCAATAACACTGAACAGCATGAAATGGAAGAGAGTCATGAAAGTGTTTACCAGGCACAAGAGCCCTGGGAGGGCTGGTGGCTGGTTGCTGCCTCGGGCCTCTCAGGGAGTCCAGCAGCCCAAGACAGGCCTGGACTCTGAGCTCTCTAGTTGGCAAGAAGATGGCTTACTCAGATGTGGCCACAGCCTGGGGCCAGCATTGCAGTTTTCTGTTGGTAAAGATGGGCAGTGAAGATGATGGGTGTGTGCAGTGGCTGGAAGCTCAGGCTCTGTGGTACAGGCTGAGATGGGCTCCAGACCACAGGCTCTGCCACAGTTCTCCCAGGAACCACCTCAAGTACAGAAAGAGGTTGGCTTGCCTGTGAGGCTAAAGGGCAGGGTCACCTTATGACTATCAGGTGGAACAAGATACTGACCAGCTGTGCCAAGGTCACCTGCTCACCCACTTTGTCTGCTGCAGTCATGCCCTCCCCCCTCCCCGCCAGTCGCTCTGGGTCTGCTGCTACTCTAGGCTCTGATAACATCAGACTGTGTGCATCCACCCACAACCCAGCTGGGCTCCTCTCTGGTTGGATCACCTCTCCTCTTTGGTAGCTCAGTTATCCTGCCCCTGCCTTGGTCATTGTCTCAAGCCTCACTCTGTCCACCACATAAACCCCAATGACCTCTGCACAGGTCCGCACAGGTCCGCACAGGCCTCTTACTCCATTTCTGTCCACTGAGCTCACAAGCAATTCAAAAGCTGAGAATGCAAGCCAAGCCACTCTCTGATCTATGGTGCATTGTGGCTGTGGCTCTACTTGGGTAATACCCTTATTTTAAAGGGCTCTTTAAGGAGTCACAGGAGCTACTCCCATGAAGTCTTGGCCCCAGCTTATGGATGCAACCCAGCCAGGCCAGGGAGTTCATCCACCTGACTCAGGTACTGTGAACAACTACAAGGCTCAAAGGAGAGTCTCAAAAGCCTGTGACCCTGCTGTGAGGTCTTTGGGCTGAGCGAGCCAGTCATCTGTAGCTACTGATAGTGTGAAGCAGCCCTGGTGTGCACCTCCCACATTGGTACCTCCAAGGTGTGCACCATCCACACCTCATCTCCACCATGTGAATGAGTTACTCAGGACCCAGCATACTTCCTCACGCCATGAGCCATCAGGGCCCCAATAGCCAGCAGCAGCTAGTGTTGGTAGGAAGGCTAAGCCAGCTCTGTGCCCTGCGAAGAAGGTGTATGGTTCAGGCACAGGACACAGAGAGTGCACCCTATTCAGGGTGCCCAACTGCACCTAACCACCTCAGAGAACCTTACCTGCAGTGCCTGGGCCCACCTCAAGGAGAGGCCCCTAGGGCCAAGCCACCTTGGTGCATGTCTCCAGGAGGAGCTGCCCAAGGAGAGGCCAGCCAGTCTGGCCAGTGTCACCCCAGAAGGGCTAGCCTCAGGTTTCTGTGGCTCCCCCACCCTGTGTACCACAAGCTCCAGTAGCTCTTCTCATGATATAACAAGGACTTCCTCAGAATCACTGACCTAGTCCTCTCAAGTAAAAGAGGTTAGGAGGAGTCATGAACATCCCCTAAGAACTCTCTCTGCTATCCCTGTGCACAGGAGACCTAAGCCACACACCCTGTCCACTCAGAGAAGCACCTACATCTGAGACACCAGAGTGACTGCACACAACAGAAAGCAGACAAGAAGACGGAGACAGGGAGGGAGAGGAGGAGGGCCAAGCCCAGAGAAGGCTTGACCTGTCAACAGGGCTTGGGACATCAGGGAGCATGCCCACCATTCCCAGCCAGGCCACAGAAGGCTGGCCTGGAGCTGCCCATGAAGCAAATGACTTAGGTGGGAAAGCAGAGCTAGGAGTGGAGGGAAGATGTGTGCATGTAGTAATCATGGAGCCACGGATGGAAAATCGTAGCAGAGCAACTCACGGTGAGTTTACGCTGGAGACAGATGAGCTGCGAGATACAGTACCTCGAGTTTGCTTTACAAAACTGCACATGCAAGAAACAAAACATAAACAAGAGTGAGAAAACCAGAGAGGAAGTTCTGAGAAACACTAGCGACACTCAGGCACCATGTCAGTGCAGGTACAGGCCGCAGTGCACATCTGGTAGGAAGCCGGAGACACGTCCGTCAGACAGGCACCGGCCGAAACCTTGGGGCAAAAGAGAAGTTGAGAACCAGTTCCATGTGTGTAGAAAAGTGAGACTAAAGTGAGCACAGCAAACCCCACACTGGCTAGAAGATGAGACACGGTTTTCAGAGGCCATCCATCATTTCTGCTTGACCCACACTGCCCCAAGAAGGAGTGGAATGGGAAGGGCCAGACCAGATTTCCTGCCGTTCCAACAGCCCCACCCCTGCAGACCTGAGCAGACTGATCTGCAGGCCTCTGGCCTTAGATAAGCACACAGAAAGCACAGGAGGCAATAGTACCCTCATCTGTGCTGCTGCCTGGGTCCTGTTCCCAGTCCCACCTGCCTTCCTCATGAGCATCTGCCCCCACCCCCATCTCCTAGGCTCATTCCCACTGCTCCTAAGTGCCCCCTCCAGGGGCAAATCAGGCTACACCACCAACCAACCTTCCCTTTGGATGTTCCTCCAGTCATTTCCAAATGCTCTGTAGAAGCTTTTTCTAAAACTGAGAGAAACCAAAATCCTCTTTACAGACATTTCCTTTCACATTTACTTCACAGGGAGGGCTAGATAGTTTCCAGTGCCCTCTTCTCTGCACAACTGTAAGGAGCTCAGAGCAGCTTAGGTGCTCACAAGCCCCAGAGCAAACAGGCAGGTGTGTGAGAGATGATTGTGCATAGTGAGTGTGTGAATATGTGAAAGTATGCAACAGTTATGTGAGTGTGGGACGGTGAGTACATGATTATGAGTGAGTGTGAGATTGAGTGTGAATGTATGTATGAATGTGTGTGAAATATGTATGTGAATGTGTGCCATTGTGAGTGTCTGAATGTACATGAGTATGTGTGAGATTTTGAGTGCAACAGAGTATGCAGCTGTGAGTCTGAGGTAGTGAGTGCAAGGTTGTGAGCATGGGGTTGTGAATGTGGGATTGTGTGTGGGTGTATATGTGGGCTAGCATTCAGAAGCCAGGGTGAGGACAATGGTGCCACTGTAGACAGAACCAGGAAAAGGACATTGAACTTAGTGTCCCCACCTCCCAAGAGCCTGAAGGAGCTGCCTCAGGCGGCCATGCACCCAAGGATCCCTGCACTGTCTGTCATGCCAAAGGCCTCAAAGCACCACAGACACCAAAGATACCCTTAGCACCTGAGGCACCACATAGCATCCTGGCAGAGTTCCACCGCATCAAACATGGCATGACTGTGAGCATGGCCAGAACAAAAGGCTCTCCAGGGCCAAACCATGCTTTCCCCAGCCCAGCAGTCTAGGCCATAGAAAAGACAGACAGCTCTCTGCCCTCAGAAGTCTCAACACAATGGACAAGAAACAGCCCTCACATCCACTAGTACACCATGGAGGACAGGCCTCGCTCCATGTGGGGTCTTTCCTCACTCCCAGGAAGGTGATTTCTTAGGGTCTCTGGTTAGCCAGACTGACTGACATGCCACACACTCCACAGAGTAGAGGCCCACAGTTGACCCAAGATGGGGAAACACAGACTGACCAGGGCGGCTGCCTTCCCAGGTATGAAGGCTGTGCCTCTGGCTCTAGTTTGAACATCTCACTAGGGAGCTTGTGCAGTAGAACACCTATAGGAGAAAACAAGCACCCAGAAATGACTAGGGTGCTTGGGCCAACCACTAGTGCCATAAATCCAGCCTGCAAATAGCATCTCCAAACAGGGTTGTGGCAGTGCAGAGCCATGACAGTGGAGGTGGGAGTATCTGGACCCTTTTCTCCATGGCCTGGTGCAGTCTCTTTGGTACCTTCTTCTCTGAGGCCTTAGCCTGGATGGGAGTAGAGACTCTCCCACATACCCCCAAAAGTGGCAGCCCTGGAGGTCACAGGGGCTGAGGGACAAATACTCACCTCCAAGAACAGCAAAGAAGTCAAGTACTAAAGAGAAACACCACAGGCTTGCAGAGCTCACATGAAGGGCATGAGAGGGAGATCTACCAGGTCACAGTAACCTCAGGACCAAATTAATGAATTCAGTTGACCAACTGACCAAAAATTGAACTGGCTAGACAATGATACAACAGGACTGAACCTCCAGCCGCCATCTGGTAATAGTTGCCACATTTTCGGCCTGCCTGGCTCCCTGCATGGTTGGGTCCCCAGGGGCTGCAATCACTTCCAGTTGATTCACCCCCAGGCCAGCACTTTCTACTGGACTTAGAGACAAAGTCCTCTGCAAATACCATCTCCCTGGTGACTTCTGGGTAGGAACAGGCCACTATGAGTGCATACATGCACGCACATAACCAATCAACTCACACACACGCTTGCATACCTGGCACACCTGTCCATGTGCCAACACACACACTCAGCAGTACAGGCACACATGAGTACCATATGCCTGTGGCTATGCCTGGCACCACGGTCACATCGGCCACAGGAAGGATGAGCAGCCAGCTGCAGAGTCAAGGCCCTGTGGCATCCTGGGAAAGGTGTGTCTCTGGGGGGGTGGGTGTGCAACTACAAGGCCAACAGGGCACACCTCTGCTCTCATGTTCCACGCTGTGACCAGGCCATGTGCCAGAAGTTCCTGCCTTCTAAACGCCAAAGTTCTTCGAAGTCCCTAACCCTCCATATAGGCTTCTGCACTTTGCCTGAGGCCCAACCAGATGTTGGGGTAACCAGATATCCCCACAGAGCCAGTCTTGGCCCCATGCCAACCCTTTCTCATTATAAAAACTTTCATATCAAACACATGCAAAGATGTTTCTGAAAGCAGCATTAAGTCTCCTGGGAGCCACCCAGAATCTCTTGGCTCACAGACACATTTTTGAAAAGCTGTATATAAGATTAGCATGCTGACTCCTTGTCCCAGTTGACACCTACCTGGGCTTTGCCTGGAGAGAGGCCCTGGGACTGCCCTGAGACCATCCAGGTGGGTCAGTACTATGATCTAGTCAAACCTACCCAACGTGAGGGCTCCACCCAGCATGACCTGCCCATCCTCAGGTGGGAGAAACCCACAGAGATTGCCTGGATGAGTTCTTTGATTTGGCTCCTCTAGATACTGTTGTAGGGAAAGGCTGTGTCCTCAAAAACCCCTGGTCAAGGCAAGGGGTGCTCTGAGGAAGCCTCTGGAAGTGGCCCTGACCTGGACCAACCATGGATTTTGCTGCTGCCCCATACCACCCATGATCTGCTCCCAGGGGCCTTACGCAGCAATGGAGATGTTGGCAGCAGACATGGGGCTAACTTCAGCCACTTCTTTGGCCTTCTGCAGAGCAAGCTTCTGATTAGCTGCTTCTTCCATCTCTTCTTCATCCTGTTTCAACAACAGAAACACCTGTCTCCTCAGGGTGCTATGGCCATCAGATCTTCTTCCTAGGGCCTCTGGGGCCCCCCTGCCCTCTGTACTGTGGAGCAGGGCCAGCCAGCACTGAGTCACCATGTTGTCCCTTGTAAAAGGGACCCGTCTCCTATCAATGGACACCAACTCCTCATAAGCTCATAACCAAGGGCATTTCTGCAGGACTATTCCCTCTGGGGCAGTCATGTCTCTCTTCTGTGACCAGTGCTTATCCTGCTAACTAACCACTCCCCCCAATATAGATTGGCCCTCCTAAGTCATCTCACCATTCAGGGGTCTCAATCTTGGCACTGCTGACATAGTGAACATGGCCTCCTATGGCTCAGCACACAAGCTTTCTCTGGTACCCTTTGAGGCTTCCCCATCTATGTCTGGAAACTTGTCCCCAAGTTTCCTGTCTCAATACCTGTTTGCTTGTGCCATCTCCAATGTGTTCACAGGACGGGGGCAGTATATCTGTGCTTGCACCCCAACCTCAATCCTGAGTCCCAGCCCAGTATGAATGGCTGCCTGGACATGCACCTCAGACTCACCCATCAAAAGCAACTCTGTCTGTCCTTATGTTCCCCTGCCCTTGCAGGAGAACCTTCACAGATGAAAAAAGTTGGCCTCCTCCTCAGAGGCAGGAACAAGGGTAAGGGGCAGAGCTCTGCACCCTGTGGCTGGATCTGGCCCAGCACCACCCATAAGGGTCGTAACCAGAAGGTTCCCAGTGGGACTATATACCACCTTCAAGCTTCTCTGCCTGGACCCACAAGATCTCATCTGTCCAGATATCCCCAGATGTGACTATGAAGCCCTATGTGGCTCTCTGCCATCAGAGTGGGACATGGGTAGGTACAGGCACCTTCCCAGGAAGAGGAATGGACAGGTAGACAGATGTTCAGGCCCTGACCCCAGGTCACTAAGCAAAACAATCTGTGCTCCAGGGCTCTGTATCAATAGTTCTTCCTGAATCCACAGCACCAGAGGGAAACTAAGACCTTCACACCATCTACCTGGACTGCTGTGCCTGTCACAGCTTCCTCAAAACCTCAAGAACCTGCCTGGATCCCCTGGGAGTTATATTCCCAACATTCCCAAAAATGTCCTTATGCCTACTTTTAGGGGCACAATAATGACAAAAAAATTAAATCCTCTAATGGCCACTTGAATTTTTTTCAACATAGAGCAGTCTGCAGGCTTCAGGCCCAGAAAAGAGACAGCTGACCCCCCACAGATTATTCCCAGCCCTGTCCTCTACATAGGTATAGGACCCTCCATGTGTAGAGCTCCTAGGTGCAAGGGTATACTAATAACTCCAGGAGTGTGCTAAAGTCTACAAACAATTCAACTTGAATTTATCCCCATTTCACAGAAAAAATAAGCAATGCTATAAAACATTTGTGGAAGAATAAAGGGAAGTGTTGCAGTTTGAATATGAAATGCTCCTCACAGGCTTGGTTCCCAGCAAGTGGTGCTATTTAGAGAGGTGGTGAAAACCTTAGAAGGAGGGCCTAGCTGGAGGAGTGGGTCACTGGGGGCATGTCCTTGAGGCTGTAACATGGACTGGCCCCTTCTAGTCTGTCTCTGCTTCCTGGATGCCATGAGGTGAAGAGCTCTGCTTTACCACACCTTCCTACTACAGCAGAACTTGAAAAGAGAAGGAGTCTAGAAACAATGGAGCCAGCTGACCATAGACTAAAACCCTGAGCCCAAATAAATCCTGTCTCCTTTACCCCATTTCTTTCAGGTGTTTATCACAGTGGTGAAAAGCTAACTAAAACAGGAAGAGTCAAGCCCTCTCCTGGACAGTTCAGGAAATTTCCCAGTACCAGACAGGCAGGCCTCCATTTGTCCCAATTCCCAAGACAAGAGAATTCTTATATAGGAGCCACATATGTATATATGGGCAGGTCCCTGGGGACAGAGAGCCTCAGGACTCAAGGTCACTCAAGGTCACCCCTGCCCAGGACAGCTGGTGTTCAGATCACCAATGCTTTAAGGCACCTCTAGTTCACATGGTTCTAGAAATCCTGAAACCAAGGACAGCCCTGAGGATACATGGTTTCCCCAGCCTAGGCAGCCCAGCCAGGGATTAGGTCACTTGTGGACAGCGGGACTCAATATCAGCCCAGGTTGACTACAGCAACAGACAGGCCAGTGGTCCTCCCAAACCCTCAGGAGCCCAGGCCCTCAGGCATATGCAGGCATATGCAGAGCCCAGACCTAGGACATGTAAAGAGGAAGGAAGGCTGAGCAGAAGCAAATGCAGGCATACTGCATAAACCCCACAGCCTCTTCAATGCACTAGATAGAGCAGGCACACACTGTCCAGTCACACCTGTCCAGAAACCTACAGAGAGGTGCCTGGTATCTCAGTTCCAAAGCAAGACATAAGAGGCTAGCAAAGCACTGAACTATTGTGGTCAGACCCAGAGACCTACACAGGCACAAAACACATGTGACACTGCCCAGGGACAATGGCACAAGCACTAGCGAGTACACACAGTGGCACACACTCAGAAAGACACACAGGTAGGCATGTGCCCAAGTACAGAGTATGCACATGGGACCTTTACAACATGGTGTGTGCCCCACTCATGGCAGCACCCTCCATGCTGGAGTGGGGCTTGAGTCAAAATGCAAGCCTGAGGTTGAGACAGTGGATAACCGGGCCACACAGTGTCCAGGGCAGCGGGGTGAAGGTGACTAGGTAGGAGTCTGAGTCATCTGAAGGGAAACCATGGAGGGAGATGCGTGTAATCATGTCCCCTGCTGGTCAGGAATAACATGAATATTGAATGGCCCTGCTGGGCACTACTTGGTAAAGGAGTTGTCCTGCTGTGGCACAGGTATCTGGAAGTGAGGCCACCAGCTGCTCCTCTAGTCTCCAGCCAAGCCCAGGATGTGAGGACAGCACAATAGGTGTCCCCTCACTCCATTCCTCAGTGCAGGACATACCCAGGCCCAGTTCGTGCATCCTCATGTCTTTGGGAGAACCACATACTCATATCACACACTCTCTTTGACTATTACATTTAAGGGCATCTTGCTCCTCCAGCTGGGGTTCTTGCCAGTCTGTATCTCCGGACAGCCCCTCCTGCTCCCCACACCCCATCCAGCCTTTCTTCTCAGGATTTGCATCTCTGGACACCTGCCCACATGCGAGCTCCCTTCCTGGCCATGTCTTGCCTTACTTCCGCAGATGCAATACCCCAACCCCTGAGCCCACCTGTCCAGGACTTTGAGGAGACTTCCTTGGACAGTAGGCTCACGGAGCCCTAACTATGCACTAGCACAGCCACATCTAGAGTAACCAAGACTGACCTTCAGTCCCCCAACACCCAAGCTGCAAGTGGTATCCCTACCTACCTTGGTCAGCTCCTGGGCATTGGCAAGGTTGTCCACAGCAATAGCCAGGAAGACATTTAGTAGGGTGTCTGGTTTGCTCCAGCTAAGGAATGGAGTCCTCTGCCCCCACCAACTCCTCCATCCAGTTCCTCCATTCAGCCTCTACCACCCAGCTTCCTCTCCCCCACCCCAGCTCTTCAGGACTGACATTCTAAGCCCAAAGATCAAAGATTGTGTTGGTCAATTTGCCTTTGCTTCCCCTAAAGAAGGCACTCAGTCTGCCTGCCTCTGTTCCTACCTCTCCCATGTTCTGGTCAGCATAACAGACCTCAAAACAGACACTTCCTGTATTCAAAGGCTCCAGCTGAGGCTCCACAACGTTCCCACGCCTATGAGAAGAACTGACCCAAGCCAACCATAAACACACAAACCCACCCTACCCCAGGCCAAAGCTCTGAAGCAAGGTTCCCAGATGCCTCCCTGTCTTGCTTGCCCCCTTCTTTTCACTTCCTATTCCAACATGAATTCCTGGTCACCCTCCCTTGAGGTACTCCCCCAAGAAGCATCTCCTGAAACACTGGGAGGGTACACACAGTGATCTGAGCACCCAGCACTTCACCCCATCCTGAACTGATCCTAGGAGCCCAGCATCAGCAACCCTTTGGGAACCTGCTAGAATACACACTCTCAGACCCCAGACCAGCCCTGTTGGCTGTGACACTAAGCAAGGGCCAAGATCTGGACTTGGTGAGTTCCAGACACGCCCCTCCTTGGCCTGTTTTTCTTGCCTAGATACATGGGAACCACATTTATGCATGGCTCCCCTGGCCCTTACCCTGCCCAGCATCAAACCCTGTGATTCTTCTTTCTGGATTCTCCTTGGCCCCAATCCTCTTCCCATTCCGGCTCCCCTGGGGTGCCTACCTATGGGCTGCTAGGCCTGCCTGCAGACCTGCTTCTGCCACAAGCTCCAAAGCAAAGCCCACTGTCATCTTCCACATGAGCCTGGCCCTGCATTTCTGCCAGGGCTGTATTTTCAACAGAGAGGTTTTTTAAAAGCCTAGTGCCAAAACTTACTCAAATAGAATAAAGAGGAAAACCTTCTATAGTGAACACTCAAAGTCCCCATCTTCCTACAAGGCCCCAAGGCTACTCAGAGTGTTCCTGGAGCTGTGCTAACCATACCTGTCCACCTCCACCTCTGGATACCCTTCATTTGAAGCACTCCCAGGCCACCTCAGGGATATTCACCATCTCACTTAGTTTGGAGAAGGCAGAGTTGATACGCCCTAGTCTTTCTGGAGGGAGTTGTGAGGCAGCCATGGGGAAAGTGTTCACGCATTAACCACCTACATCCACCTCCAAGAAGGATACAGTTTCCAAACAGCGTCAGGACAATGAAGTAAAAGGAGGAGAACATGCCTTTGCTGACTCCTCCTTGCGATTCAATCCCATGATACATCACTGCATTCCAGTCCTCTCCTGTCAGGATCTGCATGAGAGAGCACCACAGGGTATGGCTGCATTATACAGAAAGCACACATGCACACACACAGGGTGGAATCAGGACACACCCATGTCAACATAAACATCTTTGGATGATAGAGGTTCCAAAAGTCTAGGCAGCCCAGAAACCTGCAAAAAAAAAAAAAAAAAAATCCCAAGGGACATGGCTGCTGACCTGGATCAGGTTAAATGACAAACATGCTCTAGATTTTCAACAAAGCAGAATGAGAAAAGGACAGCAAAGGCTAGGAGGATAGTGGGCGAGAGAAGGAAACCAGCAGGTCAAGGCCACAGGACAGAAGCCCAGCCTTCCACTCTCCAGGCTCCTGTCACCCTTGGCCAGGTGAGTCCACCCTCACTGCCAAACTCAATCCTTACTCTATTTTTATTCTTTGAAAAGTACAAGAGGATTAAATAAACACTCATGTGTCCTACACATAAAATGGAAACTGTTAACATTTATGTCCCATTACACATGGACAAAAATGTTAACTTCCTCTGCAGGCAACTCCAACCACAGATTTGGGACAGACCCAAGTCTTCATGATTCCACACAACACACATGTGCAAAAAGAACCAGCATGTGTGCTAGGCACGTACAGGAAGGTATCAGACCACACGTCATTATGCAACTTATGTTTTCACTCCGTATTATATCTTTAAAGCTTACCATGTTGCTACACATAAATCTACTTAACCCATATTGCAGTTTTCCTTCATTTACCCACTACCCTCCTCTAGGCACTTTTAGGGTTTTGCTACTGTCTCCTGTGCACATCAAAAGTTTGTCTAGAAAAGAAATTGCTGGATAGTAGGCTACCTACAATTCTGACTTCATTACAAGTTTTCAAAGTGGTGATCACTTGTACTGCCCCAGCAGTATAGGCTGGAACCTCCTCACATGCTCACACCATCCTGAGCACTGTCACACTAACAGTTCCAGTCTGATAAGGGTACAAGCTTGGACATTTCTGATGGTGCATCTTCTTACTGACCTGTGGGACTTCCTTATGTATTCTTGCATATACCACCCCATTATCTGTACAGTCCTTTTGTTTTCCTGTTTGCTTTTAACTTAAAATTGCTGACATTACCAAGAAGTTTAATGTAGTCAAATGTATTAGTCTCTTCCTTTGTGGTATCTGCTTTTTGCACCTTGTTTAAGAAATTCCTTCCCTACCTTCTTTTCCCCATCCTCTCCTTCCCTCAGATGCCATCCAGTGAGAAGGCTTGCTCCAGTCTTGTAAATGCATCTGAGGCAGGAGCAGAGCCACTGTCTCCAGTGAGACAGTAATAGACCTGTAATTGTGGAAGCCATCAACTTTCTGTTTACAGCCCTGTCCCCTTGCTGTGTGTATATACATAATACTTTATCCTTCATGTGTGCAAGATCCAGTGTTGGAATTCTTTGGTGTAAATAAACATCAAAAAAAATTTCTTCCCATCCCAAAGTCACATTTTCTTTGAGTCACTTTAAAGTACGATTTTTCATATTTAGGTCTCTAATCCAATTGGCATTTATTTATGGGGGTTATGATCCAATTTTTCCATATAGATTATGTCTTTCTCATATTACCAACTTCCTCTCTCTGCCTGGGTACTCCAGTCTGCTCTTTGACATGTCTTTATATCTACCATACCATTGTCATGACTGCAGCCTCCTAAGAGGGCTTCATATTTGGTAGAGCAAGCACCTCCTGCATTGTCTTGGCTGCTCTTGGACATTTCCCTTCTGCACCCAGAGTACCTGCTATCAGGCAACATTCAGGTGCTAGGATTATTAGGGGACAAAGACCCTGCTCATGGATTACCTTTCTGGTGTGTGTTTTGCTTGTCTTGCATTGTCCTATGTGGCTTTGGTGTCCAGACGGTACTACCCCATGGAATAATTGTTTCCTTTCTCGGAAATGGTCTACTGTCATCTGCTCCTTTAAGGCTACATAAAACCTTACAAATGATAGGTCCTTGGCGAGAGGCAGAAAAACAGGAAGAACGTTTTGACTAATGTTTCAATTTCTCTAATAGTTATGAAATGTCCAGATTTTTTCCTTTCTTCTTAAGCTAAGTAATTTGTTTTGCTATAAAAATGTCATGTTTCATCTAAGTTTTCAAATCAATTGGTATAACATTGCCATAAGATAGAGGAATCTGGAAAAAAAATCCCTTTTTCTACAACTACTATTAGGGTTAGGGTATATAACTTATTTTTGGCTTTTGATAATCGCATTTATGAATACAAATTTTCCTCTAAGTAAATATTGCTTCAACATAAGGTTTGGTACTGTTTTCAGATTTAGATATTTTATAATGCCCACTGTGATTTCCTCCTTATCACAATTCTTCCACTTACAAATATGGGAAGATTTTTAATGACCTTTTACTTATAGTATCTAAGACTCCACAGGACAGCAGCTATTCAGTATTTGCAGGGATTTCCTGGGTGACCTAACAAGTTACAAATTACTATGAGCATTCTATGTGTCCCAAATTATGAACATCCTATTCACTGCCTTCTGGGTTGGCTCTGTTGACTGGTTAGTGTTTATTGTGTTTGTGAACCCTTTTACAACCTTTCTAATCTTTTGTCATCCTCACCTTTCAGTTTGAGAGATGTGTTATAAATCTGGTGTGAGATGGTGGAGTTTTCATCTCTCCTTGTAATGCTGTCAGGTTTTGTTCAATGTATTTGAGGCAATATTGTTAAGTCATGCAAGTTCACGACTGCAGTGTCTTCTTGGTGTAGTCTTCCTCTCGTCATCATGTAATACACGTCCTTATTTTCACTAACCCTTCTCTGCCTGACCTTCTGCTTTGCCTAATACTAATATCACTAGATTGGCACTTTCTTTTGGTCAGTGTTTACTTAATTTATCTTCTTGTATCCCTTCATTTTTAAAATTATGTTAATATTTTAAGTACTCAGAAAGGTACATAAATAAATGTCTGTGGATCACCCATCACCCAGCTTAAGAAATTAACTTCCACCAGGCGAGCAATACTGACTGCTCTGGAGGTGGAGATCAGGAGGATCACGACTTGAAGCCAGCCAAGGCAAAAAGTCAGCAAGGTCTCACCTCAACAAAAAAAGCTAGGGGTGTTATGACACCCCTTCAACCCAGCTACATGCAGGCATAAGTAGGAAGATCACAGCCCAAGTTTGGCCTGGACAAAAAAACACCAGATCCTCTCTGGGAAAGAAAAAAAAACAAACCCTAAAGCAAAAAGGGTTGGGGCATGGCTCAAGTAGTAGAGTGCTAGCAAGTGCAAGACCTTGATATGAGAAAGAGAAAGAGAGAGAGAGAGAGAGGGCGCTTTTATACTTACTGCATACATACAATAGACAGCATAAGATTGTTTACTTCTCTTCCTTATTTAAATAGCATCACATGCCATGTGCTCATTTTGTTCAACATTCCATTTGTGAGATTCATTGTGCTGAAGAATTTCATTCTAGGTCACTCATTTTCCCTGCTGTACAAATACAACACACTCTCCTTACACATCTCAGTCATCTCCGGTTCTGTTACACAACCTGTGCTGCAGTGATGGTCTTACACACGTGTTTGTGCACCCAGGTTTTGGTGGACAGGACATTAGGAAGTTGCTGTCCAAAGCAGTTCTACTGGCTCATCAGCAGCATACAGGTGTCCCCATTTCTCCACTTCTTCTCTAAAAGTTGACACAGATTTCTTGGTTCAAGCTAACCTGAGAGGTGGGGTGGGCTTAATTTGCACCTCACTGACTGTAGTAAAATTGATCAAAGCTTTTACAGGTTTAGAAACCTGGTTCCTGTGAGTTCCTGTTTATATGCTTAGCTCTTTCACTACATTATTTGTGTTTTTTGTTTTGACTTATGGAAGTTTTCAATACATTCTGGAAAGTACTCCTTTGTTGCTCATTTGCTGACACTGGAAATATCTCCTGCTTGTCTATGGATTTTTCTTAATCTTTTAATGGTCTCTTTTGATCCACAGAAATTTTATTTTAATATAATCACATTTGTCTACCATTTCTTTTTATATCTTCTTTAAGGAAAGAAGGCACTTATATCTGTTCTTCTAAAATATTAGGCTTGCTTTACACACTTGGGACTTAATCCACCTAGAATTGATCATTGTAAGGTGGAAATCAGTTTTGTGTTTTTCTCTGTAGGTGACCAAGATGTCTCACACCCCCTGTAATGACAGCACTTTGCTTTTCTGTGCATACATGGAGTACTTCTTTCATCTGTGAAAAATGACATTTTTCTTTTTTCTTTGTCAATCCTGGACATTTTTTGTTTTCTCCTATTCTCCTGCACTAGACCACCGATAGAAGTTTTTAGTTGGAAGGAGTGCTAGGTTTCATCTTTATAAAAAGTAATTTTTATGGACATCCTGGATATATACACAGTGGACAGCACAGTGAAGCCCCACACTCCTCACCCCTCTGGCTGTGCTTTTGGCACTTCTGATCCTTAACCTGCTACCATGATTTACATTTGCAACTTCCAAAGCTTACCTTACAGCCTAAGAAAAAAATTTACTTGTAAAGATGCATTTTTTGGTTTTTTTTTTCTCTTCTTATATCTTTATTATTTAAGGATTAAAAATTTTTTTTGAGATGGGGCCTTGCTATATAAGCCCCAGGCTGACATGAAATTCACAGTCCTCCTGAGTGCTGGGATTGCAGGTACTCACCACCACATCTGGCTTACAGAGAAAACTTTTAAGCATATCTGGATTTAAACTGTGATTATTTTTCCTTCTGGGTGTTTTGCCTCTGCCTGTAAAACTGATGTATATTTTTCTTTTTGATATTGACCTCATTTAGCTTTTCATATCTAACCTCATAAAATAAGTGGGGGAGCTTTTCTATTCTCTGGTGTAGTCTATATAAAATTGGAGTAACTGCTCAGATTCTTATGAAAGTTCACTTATAAAACTATCTGTACTTGGTGGATTGGATAGGAGATTTTTTACCATTTGGCCTCTGAAGTGTCCCAGGTCTCCGGTTTCCTCTTGGGTCTATGTATTTCTTCTTCTCAATCACCCACTTTCAACACATGAGCACTCACAGTGCTTTGGGCAGGCACAGGGAGGCAGCTCTGTGTGTTCCTACCTAAAAGGGTCCTCAGTTACACCCTTGCACTGAGTCACAGTTCTCTGAATTGGAGACTCTCAGAGACTAAACCTCAATGTTCCACATTACTTTCCATGACCTTCTGACGTTCTGTTACTCATGGAAGTCTGACATTAGACTGGTTGTTGCTCTTTTATAGGAAACCTGTCTTTCCACAGCTTTCCTATAGCTTTTAGGGTCTTCTCTTTATCTCAGTGTGTCTAGGTCTGGAATTACTCTGTTCTCCCTGCTTGCCCCTGGGAACTTTTGTCTCTCTCTCTCATCATTTTGTTTTCAGTTCCTTGAAAACAAAGCCAGGGCCTTGTGCATGCTAGAACACACACAAGTGTTCTACCATCGAGTCACACCTCCAGCCCCAGTCTTTGTTCCGTCTGCTGTCTGAGCTGCCTGCTCAGTCATCTTGGGCACTAGCCCTCTTGCATCCGCTACAGCCATCCAGCTCCTTGGTATCTTCTAGATCATACTCTTCCCTTTGGTCCCTATGCAGAGTACTATCCACCTGCATCGTTAACTTGAACAGCCATGGTTCTTTTTTATTTATTTATTTATTTTAATTTCTAGGGTTTCTATTTAGTTCTTTTTCAAATGAATCTATTCTTTGTCTTAGATGCCTTTTCCCCTAATTTTGGGATTTTTGTGGGTTCTCTCTTACCCTTGAGGATCATGAGCACACTCAACTTAGAGTCATCTGTTCTTTCTCTGTTACTTCCTTTTCTTCAGGAGCCATCTCATCTTCCAAGCCTACTCATCTTGGGTAGTGCTGGCCCTCTTCTGGGTGCCAGTGTTTCATGGAATTTAATTTGCAGGTCTCCAGCTTCCTCCAGCTCTCCAAGGCCTCTTTCAAAGGGCCTGGGGCCTTCCTCAGTGCCCAGAGTGGCTTAGCAGTGTACACACATCTCTAATGCTGGGGAACTCAGATGCCCAACCCACCTGCCTCTTCTCAGACCACATCCCAGTGCCTGGGCCTCTTCTATCTCCCGATGTATGAGTCTATTGTTTCTAGTCCACAGAGACTCTGATTCTACTTGGCTAGACCTTGCTGTTTACCCCGTTGTAGTGTTCAGAGCATAGGGTATGTAAGGTTTGATCACAGCACAGAGAAATCCCTTTTTCTTTAACTATGGCCTCCCTCACCAGGCTCAAATCCTTTCTCACCAGGCTCAAATCCTTTCTGGCAAACACAGAAAGCAGAGTCTTATCATCAGCCCATAGCCTCCCTGCTCTGGAGCTCCCACCACACAAAGCCCGTTCACCTATAGGACCCTTCCCCTAAGCCCACTGCAGCCATGCCTGCCCTCTCATCATGCTTACTGCATAGCCTGGAAAAAGCTCCTCCCAATTTCCTTTCCCTGGTGCTTGAGTACCTGGTGCTTGAGTTCCTGTGAGCCCACAGGAAGAAGTACCCTTCCCAACACAAGGGCCTGCTCTCCAGGCAGGCATGGCATCCTCTACAGGGCCTTGGGCTGGAGCCACACTCCTGTCTTCATAGACTGATGGGTCTTATCATCCAGTAGGGGCTTAAACTCTAGAAGCCACTGGCCTGTGGGCAACCCAGAGCTTCCCATGCATCAGTGAGAGGAAAGGGGAATGTGGCAGGCTAACAGGTACCCACACTTAGAGAGTCCAAGGCAGGGAGAAGAGACAGAGGATGCAGAAATGAGACCAAGAGGAAGGAGGGACCAGCCCAGTACCAGTGCTAACATGGGGGCAGAGGAGCCTGCTCTGCATGGCTGTGACTGAGCTGATGGATGCAGGGGTCCTGCCAGTGAAGGAAGTAAGGGAAAGTTGTGACGAAGGGGACCATCATGGACAACGTGACACTGGTGCAGATCACTGGAACCAAACTGCTTCCTAAGCCCCTCATCCAGTTCAGTTTGGGACTGCCTGCTGGAAAGACACCCTCCCTTTGAGGCCGGGGATGCAAAGGCCCTTTCTCACAACATGTAGGCTCAGCTTTGGCCCCCAGAGGCCAGGCACCACTAAGACCCAGCCTGGAGCATGGTCAGCCAGTCAGACTCCCTGAGATTCACAGCGGTAGGACAACAGCCACCCCATCCTGCCCTGCACCCTAGCAGGCATCAAGAGGTAGGAATAAAGGCACTGCCCCATCGATGAGGCCAATCCTGGTGGCCCTGCAAAAGGAAAAAAGTGTCCAGCAAAGAGTCCCCAAAAAGGAATTGCCTAAGAGGGCAGAGATCACCTGAGCCAACAGGTCCAAATCAAACAGAAAATGGGCCATAGCCCCAACTCTCCAAAAAGCTGCAGTGTGCATGGATCTCAGTCCCAAGAGAGAACAGAGAGTCATAGGGGCCTGAGACACCACCAGGAGAAGTTTAAGGAGAGCTTTGTGGATTTTGTTCTCAGAGGATAAAAGATACCAATTTCAGGCCCTAGGGGATAAGAGATAAGTTGTTGGCTTGGAGCCCAGTGGCTAATGGACACTTATGTCCCCAGGGAGCAGCATTTGCCCCACAGGGCTTATATTCTGTTGTATACAGTTCTGTCTGAATGTTGGACATCTGCTTTTGTTGAAGAGCTGAGGAGGGGCAGATGGAGTAGCCCCTTCTCCACACCTGAAGGAGACAAGAGCTGAACAAAGAGCAGGAAGCCTCACCTGGAAGACAGTGAGGATAGCAGCAGGAAAGGTATCGAAGTTGGTTGTCGGAGTCTCATCTTTAAAGTTGAACCTGAGAAAAACAAGAAGTCTTAGGAAGAGGCAGCCCCTTCAGGGCAAGGGAACTGGCCCCTTGGCACCAATGTGCCAGCTGCAGATGGCAGTTAAACTGCTCCTCAGGGGCTCCAGTCTCCTTCTTGGACCTTCAGGAAGGTAGGTGGAGGAGGCCTGGGGCAGCCTCGTCCACTCTGAGCTCTGCCTCCCCAGAAAGCCCTGGCCTGCCCCCTCTCCTGGACCACTCACTGTCCCCCAAATAGCTGCATCCCCAGCAGAGCAAAGACCACGATGAACAGGAAGAGCAGGAACAGCAAGCTGACAATGGACTTCATGGAGTTGAGCAGGGACACCACGAGATTCCTCAGGGAGTTCCAGTACCTGTTGGGCCAGGCAGTGTGGTTGTCAGGCAGGGCTGTGTCAGGTGGACACAGCCCTCACACTCACCCAGGCTCTCTGCATTTACACCTGCTTCTGAAACTTCTAAACTCTGAGGCCACACCTCCCCAAAGGTCACATTTCCCTTGGGGTTTCACACCCACTCTCCAGGATGATGGAGACGCAGGCACAACAATGCCGAACTCACCTTCGTTCTCCATAACCTGCCCCCACTCTGAACCCTGTGCCTAGCAGAATGACTCTACTACCCATCAGTAGCTAAACCCAAGCCCAAGATTTCACCCTCAGTCCCTTCCTCTCCCTCACTTCCCACTACCCAGCACCATGAGAAGTAAAAAATGTCTTCAGCCCAAAAAAGAAGCTGCTGCACCAGCACCTGAATCCACACAGCTCCCTCACCGTGGCATCTTTCAAATACTAAGACCAAGTGCTCCTCACCCACAGAAGACCAGGACACAGGGCCTAGAGTGCATGGGAGCAGCAGCACAGAAAGAGGTTCCAGACACCATGGCACAGCACCCAGTGTCAGCCAACCTCACACACTGTCTCCACCCATCCCCAAGCCCAGGAGTACACAGACAACCTACTTGGTGACCTTGAAGATCCTTAGCAACCGTAGTGCCCGCAGCACGCTGATTCCAAAGGAGGTTCCTGGTTTAATGGCAGCCCAGACCACTTCAAAAATGCTTCCCACAATGACCTGCAATGAGGAGGCGTCAGGGTGGGTGGAGCAATCCACATCTGCACCTGTGTGTGCACAGGTGCATCAAGAGTATTGCACAGGCCTTCACATGTGCACCTGTGAGCACCTATGCTGCCTCCCATCTGCCTCACAAGCCAGATGAGGGAGCAGGGTATATGCAGGTCACAGGGGCTCTGCAACCCTGGGCAGGATACAGAGGCCACTGGTCCTAGCCCATCCTTTACCCCTACCCCAGACATCCAAGGGGAACACAGGATTTGGAGCAAGGCTAGGCCTGCTGGTGTCTTGGTACAGCTTGAAGCCACCTGTCCAACACCTTGCTTGTGCTTCACCATGGCCAGGTGACATTGCATCTTCTTAAATATCTCTAGATCTGGGCAAACAATCTGACAGCCCTATCAAGTGTTTTTCTCCCAGGCTAGCAAAATATTTCTCCCTGCAACACCCCCTCTCTGGTCCTACAACTGCTCAAGATATTCAGATTTGTACACTGCAACTTGAGTCTTTCCTTCCCCAGTGACCAGGTTCCCACACAAGCCACAAACATGTGGCTAGAACCTGGTCCTACCTCTTCCCTGGGCTACCTCAGGCCCCACTGATGTGGGTGGACAGAGGCCTGTGACCCAGCACACACCTCTCCTCCCAGCTGCTTCGATGGACCAAGGGATGAGCTGTCCAGGTCAATACATGGTGCGAGGGCCTTGGAAAGAACAGATGTGTGTCCTCCCCTGCGAGGGTGAGGTGTCAGGGTGGGTGGAGCACACTGGACAGGATATTCAGGGGGTCCAAGCTGAATTTGCTCCCAGGCCTCAATTCACGGGGCACTCTTGGGGCTCACAGTCAGGGTGAGTACCCATATCTGTGTTGTGTGTGTAATTCTAACTCCCTCTAATCCACGCTTCTGCATTTGCTTCAGAAAATCAAATGTTGAGCATTAATCTCTTAAATTACATTTTACCATCCTTGTCTCATATATTTTCCAAGGTTTCAGTTGTTTCTGCCAATTTCACTTGACTACAAATCTGATCATCTTAACATCGATGTTCTCATTAAATCACTGAGAGAATGGTGAATGTGCCAGGACAGAGCCCTGCAGCATATCACTAAAGACTTCCCTGCAGGTTAACGCTGCTCTGTTAGCCAGCCACAACTGGGTGTGGTTGACACCCAGATATCTGAGTCAACACCTATTTTCCACCTTCTCCACAAATGCATTCTCAGAATAGCTGAGATCCTGCAGACTGCCAGCACACCAACCCCTGTGCAGGTGTGGTAACCCTGTTCCCCTGACAACTGGGGTAAGCTGCCAAAGCCCATTCTTGGTGACACATACCAGCCCTTAGCTGCTGCCACCAAGTCTTCTGTGCACTGGCAAATAGCCCAGAGTTTGCCTGGGTTGAAGACTCTGGTTTTCTAAACCTATTTTCTTCTCACTATTGTGCGATTCTGTCTTCCAGAATCTCTCTTCTTTTCCACTAATTCTCACCATCTGTCCCCACTGGCTCATGCAGTAGGCAGCCTCCAAGGTGGCCCCCAGGAATTCTGTCCCCTTCAGGATGGGCTAGACCTAAGGACTTTCTCTTAGCAAACAGAACACCACAGAAGTGACAGGCTGTCTCCTGTGAGGTCAGGTTCAAGAGGACTGTGGTGTCCATCTTGTGTTCTTGGCTCTCCTTGGATCACCACATGCTGTGTTGTGAGGACAACCCAGCAGCCTATGGGGAGGCCCAGGTGACTAGTAACAGAGGCCTGCAGGCAACCTAATAAGCGAGCCTAGGTTTCTGAGGATGGTCAGTTGACACAAGTATGAGCCTAGAAGTGAATTCTCCAGACCCCTATTAGCCCAGGGTGGCTGCAGTCTCATCACATACTCCAAGCAGGGAGTGTCCAATCAGGCTGCACCCTGACTCCAAACTCACAGCACAATAAACACTTATTGTTCTGAGGCATTAAGCATCAGGATAATTTGTTTCCAAGAAGGGAAAATTAGCAGATTTTTTAAACAGAGTGGAGTGCTGCCCTGAGTTCAAGCCCCAGTACTGAAAAAAAAAAAAAAAAAACCTAAGATGTAGAAGTGGTTTTGGAACCAGAGAACAGGCATTGCACAGCACAAAGCTTAAAGTACCCTGAACACACATTCCACAGGCTCTGAGGATGCCACCTATCAGGACCTGCAGGACTACAAGGAGAGTCTCACAGAACACTAAAGGGAAGTCCAGCTGTGTTGTTACTGCAGTTGTGGGAACACAGAAAATGCACTCCGTGAACTGGAAGCTGTAAACTGCCAAGTCTGCTGGGGTTTTCTTGCTGCTCATGTCAAATATGAGAGGAGAAAGCCACCCTGAGGACAAGGAAGCCAGGACCTGCTGGTTCTGAGAATGCTCAGCCTCTCCTGGTACAGAATGGCCTAGTCTGAAGATGACACTGGGGCAGGACCATGACTTTGACTTCAGATCCCTAAAAGGTCAAAGGTGCTTCACAGCACTGTTCAGTTCCATCTTCCGGCACAGCAAAGAGGTCTGGGGTGTGGGGCAGTGAGTCCTCAGGAACACTAGAGGGTGCTGACCCTCCTACATCTCAACAGGACATGGGCAGAGAAGACAGTTGAGGGTGTGACTTTTGTCTAAAGGGATGAACACTGATAAGGTTCACAACATACCTACAAAGAGATCCTCAAATACCCAACACATCCTTAAAAGACATAAGTAGAGATATATATGGAATAAAAAGGGTCAAGACAGCACAAAACAAAAATAGGTCCTTGGAGTCCTAAGATCCTGTTGGTAGGAACAGGCTGAGAATATGATCCAGCTGAAAACAAGCACTGCTATTCATGGAAAGGGAAGGGATTCACAAAGGGCAGGACCAAGAGCCCACTGGAGCTGGACATGCCTATAATCCCAGCTACTTGGGAGGCAGAGGCAGGAGGATCATGAGTTCAAGGACAGCCAGGGCAAAATTACTGAGATCCTATCTCAAAAAATAAATAAATAAATAAAAAGGGCTGGGGACATGGCTCAGGTGGTAGAGCACTTGCCTTGTAAGTATGAGGCCCTAGATTCAAATCCAAGTACTGCCAAAGGAAAAAAAGCAAGCTCATTTGACAATGGGGAAGGAAGAGAACCTCTGTGCTCACACCCTCAGGAGTTGGCTGAGCCAAGTGTCCGATAGACACCTCTTAGAGGCTGAGCAAATTCCATCCTACATCCTTCTAGAAGTCACACCACAAGCTGCCATGCCTTGAGGACATATGAGCAGCTTGTGGAGAGGCCCCATGATCAGGGAACCAAGGCTGCCCACAACCATGTGAGTGAGCTTGAAAGCAAAATCTCCAGGGGAGGGATTTCTGCATCCCTGGCCTTCATCAGCTGGACTGAAGCTCAGAGGGATCCTGAGCCAAAGGCACCCAGCTAAGCCACACCTGGATTCCTGACCCATACATGTGAGATGACAGATTTTAGTGGTTTCTTAGTTATGTGTAGACTGGCCTGAGCCCTGGCATCAGAGAACTGAGGCACATCTGAAAAGCTGACACACCTGACATCCCTTCAGCACTTGCCTCCTGCCATCTATGTTCCAGACTTTCTTGTGACCAAAGAGGTAAAAAATCAGAAGATTGGACTCTCTCCACCACCCACCAGAGCCCTAGGTGTCCATATATCAGAGAGGGTCCTGGGTGACATGAATGTGGCCAATGCCCTAAGGATTCCCACAAACTAGTGAGCAGCCCAGGAGCAGTGACATCAGTCCCGTTACTCATCTTCATAGTGAGAGCCATGTAAGGACCTAAGGAAACTAATAGACACCAAGGCTCTGCCAACTATAATGTGCAGTGCTGGAGAGAAGAAAAGTTCAAGTCAGGATGAATTTTCAAGCTAAAGTTTTCCTTCCATTCAGACCCAGGTCCCCTCCCTAGCTACATTACACTGTGTAGAACCCCAAACCCTTCTGCAGGACTAGGGACTCCCACCTGCCACTGAGCCTCTGGGTCACATTCCTGGGCCCTGGCTCAGCCCCAGGGACATGTCCTATGTGCTCTATTGATAAAAAGTAAGGTGACTTATGTGGACTCCTGTCCTGTGTCTGGTCTCCACTTTCACAGTAAGCCACAGTAACATCTGTCTTCAAGGCTTCCCTGACCTACAGAGGTTGGGAAATGACCACCCCAGGCCCACCATACCCCCTGCCCCATAGACAGCAAGATCACCTCAGTCTATCCTCCCTCCCGCAGGAGCACTAGTGCCTGAGACAGATCCACAGGATAGTGGGGCCCAGCAGCTGAGCTCTGCTGGGGAGAGACTGAACCCCCTCATAGGTTACAAGGTCCCAGCCTGGCAGGAGGTACAGACACTCCAGCTGATCCCAAGTCTACAGACAGGGTCAAAACTGGAAGGGCAATGTTCTGCAGTGGGGAGCCACTGTGGCTGGCATCCCCAGCAGTCAGGCCAAGCCAGGACCTCACCCAGTCTTTAGGTAGTCTTTCTGAGCCACAGGATCACAAAGCTCAACCCATGATGGGTACATATATGGAAGGAGCTGTGCACATCCTCAGGCAGGAATACAGCTCAGACATGCCCAGATCCCCAACAAGGGCCCCAACTGAGGTATCTCACTCACCCCAAAGTCAAAGCAGTTGAAGGAGGACCGGAAGTAGCTTCTGGGTCCTAGGCCATACATCTTCAGGGACATCTCTGTGAGGAAGAGACCCAGGAAAACAAACTCTGCAAAGTCTAGGAGAAGTCAGAGAAGAGGGGGGTTAGCTTGAGGCTCCTCCCTCCCTGCCTCCAGCCCAGGCTGGAGGACATCAAACTCGGGGCCTTCCAAGGCCAAGCCTTCCAGGCCTGGTCTGCACCCCTGTGCTCTGAAATCACAGCCTAGGATAGGGATAATGAGAGATGCTGGAACCAGTCTGGATGGTAATGGATACCCAGTACCAAAGGGAGGCAGCTCAAGGATCAACTCAGGAGTGAGATTTAGGAGCACCCCCAGAGGATGCCCAGGGAGTAGCCTCTCCACCCCCCCCCCCCCTGATCTCCACCAGACCTTCTACCCCTGGTCACAGGTAGGCCCTGTCTCCTCATCAGAGTCTCCCTGTTTTTCCACAAAGACTTCCTAACACCCTTCCTCAGGACCCCATAGCACCATGATTGTCCCACTAAATGGAGAACACCACCACCACTGGAGCACCCCAGACCCAATCAACACAAGTTTCCCAGAAGCACTGATGTCTGCAAAAACCCAGCACGCTTGCTCTGTCAATGAATGGTTGAGCAAGACTCAACCTGGGATTCCGAGCAACAACACTGCTAACCCCAGAGTCTCAGGACTAAAGAGAGGCCACTCCAAGGCCGGGGCACAAACACCACTAGCCTGATGAGGCCACATTTAGCCTTGGGGGCCATGAACACCACTGGCCCTGGGACTAAAGGGAGGCCATGCTAAGGCTGGGGGCACATAAACAATGCTAGCCCAGCCCAAACAGGAAGAGAGAGGTAAAACAAAAACAGTTTGTGGCTCCAGAGGCTGTGTAGGCCCCTGGCAGCAGGAGAGAAAGGCTCTTCACCATGGCTTCCCTTTAGTCCCAGCCCTCCATGCTCCACCTCTGCCAAACCTGGCCTTTTCTTCCCGTGCAGGAGCAGATGGTGCCCAGCTGGTCCCAAGTTTACTCCCTGACTCCTGAGTATCTACTGCCTGAGCAGAACAGGGGGAGGTGAGGATCACCGAAGCCCTCAGTAAGCGTCTGAAGCCCAAACTTCAGAACAAGACCACTGTCTCCAATCCTCCTCCCAAAGTGCTAGGCTGAATCGGCTACTTACTTCACACAGGAGGCCAAAGGCACTGTGGCCTCTGAACAAGGCAGCAGCTCAGAACAGAGCAAAGCCAACAGAGGATACGGCCAGGAGAAGGAATGAAAGGCACTAAACAGCAAACAGCCTAAACTTCCCAGGGCCTCTGTCAGGACATGGAACCTTAAGCAGATGCAGTTTGTGATGAAACAGACATGGAAGAGAGGGCCTCCTGCTTCCATCCTTATGCATCCCAAACTCTGCCTTCAAAACAACCCTCCAAGGGCTGCCTTCCTTGTGAGCATATAAACACTTTAGTCAGGGCTGGTTGCTGGGCACCATGCAGAAAGAGGGAAAGGGACCCCCTTCTATGGTCTAGGCATATGTGCAAACAGCTCTAGGGAGTAACTCACCCCCAGCAAGCTAAGTCTCTGAAGCCAGAATCCCAAAACAGAGCCCCACAACAAGCATAAGATGCTAACGAGAAGGCAGAGAAGCCAAGAGGCCAACCTCAGAGACACTAATGCCAAACAGGGCCTTCTTGGGACAGAAGAACCTCCCCAGCCAAGCCTGACTCCTGACCCAGCTGTGCTAAATGGAACATGTGAGGTCTAACAGGAAAGCTGTGTCTACTAGTCCCACTCAGAGCACCCCAAGATGCAAGACCTCAGGGGACATGGAGCAGAATGCAGAGACCCAAGACTCCTGGCTGAAAGTCCAAAGACCCTTGACAATTGTCAAAAGGTCCCTGCCTGTGATGTCAGGCTCCCCACCCAGGATCCCAGGGAGAAACCATAGTGTTGGGACTGCCTGCCACCCACACGCTGGACCTCAGGTGAGGCTGCCCAAGCACTGAGCTTGCTCCCTAGGAGACCAAAGTGAGAGACTTTGCAAGAGTAAGTGTGAGAATTGTCAAAGGTGAGACCTACAGAGCAAGGAGTCAGAAATCCCTCAGCATCCTGTTGACATGGCCTCAGCCTCAAACAAGCAGCTTCCTCTCTGAGACCACGAAAGGCGTTCATGCATTCATCTCTATATCACTCAGCTAGCAGGGCTGATGCTGCTGTGAGATGGCATGGGGGACAGTGTTTACTCTTGACACCAGTTGTCACCAGCTAAGGGGAAGCAGAACAAGATGATTAAGAGTGTTTTATGTTGTTAAGAGGCCAGTGTACTGTGGAGACAGAGGGGTCACATCTGTCTCTCAGTGTTAGGGCCTCGGGAAGACCAGGCCGGCAGCTCCCTTACTGTCTAAGTCTTGGTTTCAAAGGCCCTGGCAGTGCATCAGTGTCCTCAGTGGATGGGTAGCTGAGGTTCAAAGCCCACCCACCATCTACAGGACAGCAGAGTTCTGGGGGGTGAAGCTGGTACATGCTGGGCAAAGTGCCCCTCAGCCTCTAGCCTTCCCTATTCTACTGGTTCAGCCTCATTGTCAAGGGAAGATCCCAGATACTGAGCAGAAACCTCCAGACCCAGCCAAGGCCTCAACCTCCAGCCATTTTCCCTCAGTGAAGCCAGTGGAGCCAGGAATTCCAGGAAACCACAAAGAGAAAGAAGCAAGGGGTAGGTTCCTGGCCGGGCATGCCTGTGGCCTGGCCCAAGGTTGGGGCACCCAAAGCCCTGGGATCCCACACGTCAGACATGTGAGCAGACCATGCTGCCCTCTCCTCCCACACACACCTGACCTGCTCACACAGCAGACACACAGGACAGGAAGTAATACCAGCCCTACTGCAAAACACTGGCTGCCATGTGGGAAGAACATACCCGGGCAGCCAAGAGAAGAGGAAGCAATTCCTTAGTCCCCACACAACTCCAAGGATGGGGAAACCTGAGCCTAAGGACCCAAGCAAAGGACCAAGATGGCTCCAGGGGCCAGAGAAGACTGTTCAGATACACAGGGTTCCTCAATCTTCACTCTGCCCCAAGGTGGTCTGCTGACACCTTGTTACTTTTGCTCCCTCTGCCCCTCAGCCCTCTCCCAGGGAGGCAAGAAATAGATTTCAACACAAACTGGAAAAGCTATAGCCTAGAATCCTACCCCAGGACAGCTCACATGTGCACACACACTTCATGTGGCCTGTGAGTCTCTCATTACTGTGGAGCTATCACAATCTAAAACTCTCAGGAGCCCTTCCAGGGCTGAACAGGCTCGATGATCCACAGGATGGGAGTGTGGCTGTCCAAGAGCCCTGGTGAGGCCATCGTCAAGGCAGAACACTTCAGCAAGGCCACAGCTAGGAGCTGGGGTATTTCATCTCTGAGCTCAGAAAAGGCTCTCAGGTGGCCTCCAGCACACAGGGCTCTCCTGGAGGGAGAGAGAGCATTTTGGGAGCCCAGGTACTGTTCTCAAACCCAGCAAAGACAAGAAGCTGGGTGAGTGCAGCTTACCCTGAGGGATGGGCAGACAGTCACAGCTACTGTAGCACATAAACACGAGTGAATGCTTTAGCAATGAGGAAGGCAGCAGGGCAAGGCTGTGCTCCATGTGACCACAGAGCTCTAGGGCATAGAGGGTCAGCCTCAGAGGGTCAGTCCTGGTACCAGAGGGCACTGGAAGCCCCACCACCAGTGATCGTCTTCTTTGCCATCTTTGAACTATATATAGCCAGGACCAAGACAAGCAGAACTCAGATCCCCATGACACAGGGCAGCAAGTGGCTCTGACCTCTTGCCTCTTAAGGTCATGGACAGCTCACACTCAATCAATTGCTAAGAAAAATAGAAATGACCAGGAAAGCCCTGGACAGTTCCAGAGCCTGGACTCTGCCTCCTTGGGTACCCAGGGCAGGAGCAGCAGCCTCAGGGCAGCGAAGCACAAAGCTAGGTCCCTGGTCTACGGGTCTGAAGCCCTTAGCAGAAAGAAATGAGTCTGGCTCACCTGGCTTATCCATGGTCTCCCACACACTCCCTCCCACCCCAGGACCTCTCGATTCATGTCACACCACATTGGTGAAGGGCATGGAGCCAGATCAGCTGGGCTACCTGGAACCCAGCTGTCAGGGTAGGAGACCCTCAGGCTCTGGACCCAGGCCAGGCCCCTGATCTGGTCAGGCAGAAGGGAACACAAGCTAGGGCTTCCAGGCTGTCAGAAAGCATGCCGGTGACAGGACTGGGTACGTACACAGTGCGGTGGTGAGCCGCTGCGGCTGGTTGTAGTGCACCATGGCCACACACAATGTATTCAGGGCCACCACACACAGCACCACCCAGTAGAAGCTCTGTGCCTTCACCATGCGCCGGATGAAGAACCGGAACATCTTCTCCTTCCTCCGGAAGTATGACGAGCTCTCTGTCTTCCCGCTCTTGAGGCTGGCCCGGGCAAAGGGGGATCCTGTTGGGCAAGAGACTTACTGAGGTCTCAGGGACCTGTGGGCTCCCAATTCACATGCCCACCAGAGACCTCCCCAGCCCTGCAGGCCACAGGCAGTCCCACAGGTTGGCAGCCCCACCTCATTTCTCAGAGAAGGGAACCTTGGCAACCCTCGGGGGTACTGCAAGCAAACAAGTGGGAGAGCTGGACTGCACCGAACTTGTAGCAGTCACTGTCTCTGGTTCCCAGAATGCATGCTGCCTTCCAGAAGGGCAGCCCTGATGCCACAGGCACTCTGAGCTTTTTCCCAAAGGTATGAGTCTGACTGAGTCAGTCCCTCCCATATCTTACCTCTGCAATGTGGCCTGGTGAGTTCTACAGCATCTGTCCATCTCCCTCCAGACTTGGGGTCAGCAACCACTGACCACCTGTTTCTTAAATTGTTGGAACACAGCTAAGCACACCCATTTACATGTGGTAGTGGTTGCTGTCTGGCCACGGAGCCATAAATACTTGTCATCTGAGAAGTGTGCTGACACCACTCTAACTCCTTGGCCCTTCCCAGGTTTCTGAGCTTAACAGGTTTTCCTTACTGGCCTCCTTTCCATGACTAGCTCCTCAGCTTGTGTTTTGGCTTCAATGTCATCTCCATAGCATGTCATCTCTGGCACTTCATCTAAAATAGGGTCTTTAGGCACTCAACAATGATGGTAACCTTGTCACCACCTGTCACTGTGTTTGCTCATTGACCTATCCTGTACCCAGCAACAAGACCAGACTGTTAGCTCCCAGTCCACATTATCTTTTGCCACTGAGTCCATTGCACAGAGGGTTCGATAAATGCTTGAATTAGGAGCAAATGCTCTTTGTGGGTGTCTGAGGCTCTGGTTGTGCTTATATCATATGGGTCCTCTCTGTGGCTCTGCAGGAGTACATAGCTGCACCTTGTGCCCTGAGCATCCCTTTGTAGAGTACACACACTTGCCCAGCAAAGGGCCTCCAGGGGACTATGTGCACCCCAGCAGGGGTCCCTGTGGTAGAGTCAGGATGTTCCACTTGTCTGTGTGCACACCCAGGCCCTAGGTGCACACTGACAGCACTTGGTCTGGGAAGTGAGAGTAGGCCTCTGAGCCTCTGAGGGATTTGTCTACAAGCTGAGCTATTCATCAGACAGACGGCAGGAGGCGCCCCATGGTCCAGGGCCTAGGATGGTGCAGAGCAGTGTCCATCAGCCAATGATGACTTCCCAAGGTCCTAGAGGCAGATCCTGGGCTCTGAATGCCACCCTGACCCACACCCACCAAAGACACTGTCCTCACAGCCTCCTCCTGCCTCACCAGCCACAGCCTCTGTGTATTCCCTGACACCATGTGGGGCAGCTGGCTCACCCTGGGATATAATCAGCATATATTCTCTATAATTAAAAAACTTATTTCAAGAAAAAAAGGTCTCATATCTTCAAGCTGTGGGAATCAAGAGTTACATCAATCCATGAATGACAATGGAGTTCAGTGTTGGAAGAAGGTGTGACTGCACACACACACATGTGGCTTGTTCCTACTGTAACAACAGGAGCACATCAGTTTCTGGGAGTCTTCCATGGTCCTGGTCAGCACTACTTGTTCAACAGCATGGAGAGATTGTTGCTATCAGGCCCTAAGGATGCACAGGATGACCAAGACCCACCCTGCTGTCACCCTTCCACAGAAGCCAGTGAGGGGAAGAAGACAGCAAGTATCCCTTCAGCCCAGGTGGCCTGTCCCAGCATGGGGCATGCTTGAGTGACATGACTCAAGCAACAAGAGACATGCACTACCACCCTTGTTGCCCCAGCTGTGTGACCAGGATCACATCACATATCCTGGAAGCTCCCCACTTGGATACACACAGGTCACTTGCACCTTTCATGGTCAGGTGGGATTCAGTGAGACAATCCAGGGCCTCAAATGACAGCCTACTGAATGCAGCATGGATGGAAAGACAGTGGGAGTTCTGTGCAAGCGCAGTGCCTAGAAAATAGCTGTCCTCAAGCTGTGGGGCAGCAAAGGGGACCCAGCAGTGCTGGGAGAATGGAAGTCCAGGCACAGCTCCCCTTCCTCCTTGCTGAACCCCACACCCTGAACCAAGAGCTGAAGTCTTTGGACCCAAATGCAAGTGAACCCTTGGGCTCTGCTGAACCTTGGGGGAAGTCCTAATACCAAACTCATCAAAACAAAACAAAACCAGGTGCAGTGGCTCACACCTGTAATCCCAGCTACTTGAGAGGCAGCGATCAGGAGGATCCCAGTTCAAGGCCATCCCAGGGAAATGGTTCATGAGACCCTATCTCAAAAATACCCAAAACAAAAGAGTGCTGGTGGAGTGGCTCAAGTGGTAGAGTACCTGCCTAGCAAGCGTGAGGCCCTGTACCAATACCTCCAAACCCTAGTACCACCAAAAAACTGAAAGCAAGAGAGAAAGAAACTTTTTAGAGAAAAAATAAAACTTCCAAAGTCATTCAGCAGAGGAAAAGAAACAAAGTTCATGCTGAAAACCCAAACAGCCTAGAGATGAAACATAAGCAGTGCCTCCAAATAGAAGGGAAATGTAGGGAGAGTGGTTATAAGTGACTTGAGGGAGCAAAGCCAGAGATGGCACCTAAAGTGGCAGGAGTTCCAGAGGGGAAACAAGGAAAGGAGACAAAATAACCAGATGAGTGGGAGGAAACACTCCTTACTGAAAGCATACCTGCACCTGTAGGATCCAGACACCAGGCAGAAAGGAGAGGTCAACAGCATCCAGTGCCTATAACAGAGGGCGACAGCCACAGAGCAACAGGGGAATGTGGGCCACAGCAGCTCAGGTCTCACTCCTGGTGAGGACCAAGGAGAGATGTAAGCACACTCAGGGCTCAGTGTCTGTCCCACGGGCACTGTCTCAGGAAACTCAGAGTGGCAGAGCAGAGCCAAAATAGAGGGGCAGTCCTCTGGTAAGCCACAACTGGAGAACACAACTGGGAAGCAAACCCAGGGGGCAGTCAGCCTCTGGGAGCTGCAATAGTGTGCTGGGCAAGGGTGACCAAAGGACCTAGTCTTGGGGCGGGCATGGGGACAAGTGAGAACCACTTGTAAAGGCCATATCACACGGAGGTACAGACTAAACGGAAAGGGCACGTCAGTGATGGAGATGATGTGTCTTGCTGGTAAAGAAACTAAAATGGTGAAGAACTACATTTCTTATTTTAAGCAAAGGGATGCAAGATATAGAGACAAGAAATTAACAAGGGATGGGTACACAACCAGTAGAGTCAAGCACCAAAGGAAGGGTAAAGAATAGAATAACAGTATGTAACACAGATGATAAAATGAAGTAGTGAGCAAAGGAGAAAACCACGTGTCAAACAAACTTTACCACCAGGCATGGTGGCATGCACCTGTAATTCCAGCACTCAGGAGGCTGAGGCAGGAGGATCACAAGTTTGAGGCCAGCCTAGGCTATATAGCAAGACACTGTCTCAAAAAACAAGAGCCAGCCAGACAAAGAGAGCACTGTGTGATAAAACTCAGATGACTTATGGGGAAGTTGCCACAACTGCAAGCTGCATCATAGCCAAGAGCACAAAAGCCCCGTGAGAGGGAGAGGGACGCTGTAAGAAAGAGCATACAGTGGAAATGCTGACAACACCTCTCAACAGTAATAGATGGGAAAGAAATCAAGCACAAAGAATGGGAACCTGGATCAACAAACCCACTCCACAAACACATCACAATCCATCTGTTTCCATCTCTCAGATATGGGATACACTTCTTATGTCAATGAAACTTTTAAAAATCGGTTATGAACTTACAATTCGAAAACTTAGAAACATTTTCCAACCATTATCTGATAAAAGTAAAATATGATGAGCCAAACATCCTAACTATTTATCAGTTAAGAAAACTCCTTGACCACATCTGATCTAAGACAAAAATGAAGATTACCCAGAAACCAAGCATCACAGCAAAGCTTTACACAGAGGAAGGCAGTGGGTGGAAATGCCTTTGCTGCAAAATAAAAATAAAAAGGTAAACCAAAATAATGTAGAAAGAAAAACATAACGATGATAACATTGAAAACAAAAAAATAGAAATCTAAAATCTGATTATCTAAAATGACCATTAATATAGATCAACTCCACAGAATCCTAATTAAGAAAAAAGAAAAGCAGACAGAACCAGAAAACAGCAAAACCAAGCTGGCACGGTCTGCATCAGCTCAGAGCTGGGACTGTCTTCCTCAACAGGGCTGCGTCATGCCTCAGCCAGTTCAGAGCACCTGTGTGGCCTCTGCCCAGCCTCCAGCTCACATCCCAAACCTTCCATGTCCTGAGTCCCCACCACCCCACTTCCCTGCAGTCCTGTTCCTCCCACCACTCAGGCCAAAACCTGAAGAGCTGTCTCTGATGTCTCTCTTACTTCCACCCACAGTGGCTGGTCAACAAATTCTGTGGACCAGTCTTCAAAATATACCTGGAGTCCCCTCTGCCACCTCCTGGTCCAAGCCCAGGCTACACCTGTCAGGTTTTTAGTGGTCTCACCTTCTGCCCTTTTCCCAGGTTAGTTTATCTTCAGCACAGCCTCTAGGGGATTTGGAGGGTCCTGCTGCATCGAGAGCCAGACAATGATGCCCACAAGCCCACCCATGGATGCTTGGTGTCCCTGCTGGGACACAGCCTGCCTTGAGCCTCTGATGTCCTCTCGGGTGACCCCTCACCCCCTGCAGTACTGGGATTTGAACTCAGGGCCTCTAGCAAGCGCTCTACCACTTGAGCCACATGCTTTTTTTGTTTTAGTTGCTTTTCAGGTAAGGTCTTGCGGTTTTTGCCTGGGGCTGGCTTCAGACTGATCCTCCTACCAACAGACTCCCACATAGCCAGGATTAGTAACAGGTACCATCACTCTCTGTAGGCTGACTTTCTCCAGCCATTTGCTCAAAGGCATCAGATGTCCTGAACCATCTGTGGTCATTCTGCATGGACACCCTTAGACCCCTCCCTCCCTACTTCCCTCCTCTGCACACAGCTCCACTGGACCTCGTATGGTTTTTACTTATCATCTTGCTTCTTGCCTGATGCCCTTGGAATGGATGCCCTCCAGATGAAGCTCTTGATCACTCTGTCCAATGCTGGAGCTCCAACACCTCAAACAGCTCCTGGTACAGGGTGGGCACTTACTAAATGTATGCCGAGTGAAGGTGCAGAAATGACTGACTACAGGAAAGAATAAACAAGTGACAAGAGAACACTATGGGCGGTGCTACAGAAACAAGTTTGGACATCAGAGAAAATGGAAGGTTTCTTAGCAAAACAAATTACAAAATTAGTTGACGTTCTTTCTCTAGCTCTGTTTCCTTTCCTTCCTTCAACTATATGGGTTTACAGTTTCATCTCACTTATAAATAACAAATAATTCTAGCGTTCTTTAAATGACCATAAGCCACATAAAAAAAGACTTTCAAACAAATCTTCAATTCATTTTATAAAATCAGACTCTACGTAAATAAAAATTGAAGGAAATTATCTAAATATAACATGATAAATTTTTAAAAATTAGAATGAAATCTATAATATAAATTGATCTCTTTTTACAGAAAAATAAATTAAACAACAACCCAACAGAAAAATGAATAGCCATCTGAATAGTCATCAGAAAACAGACCCTAATGGGAAACAGCAAGGGTTCAGAATTGCTAGAAGTCAGTAATGCAAGAACTAATCCCAGGGAAGTATTACTTCATAGCCATCAACCTGACCTCAAACTGGCAAGAATCAAAAGCAACTGCAGTGTCTCTCTGGGGTGAGGGCCACATGTCTTCCTGCTCTGTTAATGGAACACGATGTTATACAGAGCTCTGGGAAGTGCAAACACCCTTAACCTCAGCAGCCTGTCCCTGGGAATCCAGCCAGAAACAAAAGCACTGGTAAAGAAAGGGGTGGTTTGCAAGCATTTGGAACAATGCTTCTCACAGTGAGAAAAACCAAGCAGAAGTATGCTAAGGTACCATTCAATAGGAATGGTTGAAGCAATCGTGGTGAGCCCAGACTATGGAATGGGTGAAGCCGTTAACAAGAGTGGGCTAGAATTAGACTGATGGGAGAGGCTCAAAACGTATCGATGAGAAGTTTGTAGGAAATTACATTTGTAACAGGAAAAGCTGCCCTAAACTCTACATACATGTGTGTGCATGCATGCAACGCACATACGTGTGCCTGCGTGTGAGATCTGAAACAAGGAAGTGTGTGTTCTAAAGAGTTCATGAGGCCTCCTGGGCCTGGGTCCACAAAACAATGTGGGTGCCTCTGTTAAAGGGTTTCATCCACAAATGCCACAGCACAATGAGAAGCAGATATCACTCCAGTCCACTCAGACTACGGGAGAGCAAGATGGGTTTGCCATGGGACCTCATGACTGCCAAGTTCTGTCCTGCACAGCTGCAGGGAGACAGAGGGCTGCATGCATCCTGTGTGGCTTCAGTGGGGAAATGCCAGGCCTAAAGGGAACTAAAACAGCTCTGCAGGATAAATTAGTCTCTTTTTACTGCCTGAGAAATAGGGCACGGAAAGAGGGCCCAGGTCTAGGACGAGGGAAAACAGATGGCACTGAGGAAAGACAAGCAGAAATCTTCAGTCTCTTCGGAGCCAGGGACACTTGTAGCCGTGGGGGCTCTATGTCCACATGGGCATGATGGAGCCACAGGGTAGCAGCAACCAGCAAAGAGTACTAAAAAGAGGGAGTGGGCCCAGGGCAGAGAGGAAGCTGGGCCTGTGTTCTATATCCAGCCATGAGCCTTGCAGACCAGAGGACCCCTGGACACTCACCAACTGCACAGAGATCTGCAAATCGGTCCTCCCCCTCCTCTGCATGGATCAGGTCATTGCGGCTCTTCTTGGTGGCAGCTCTCTTCAACACTGCTTTAAGCAAAGGGTGATGGGGACTATGTGAGCTGCAGCCTCAAGCATCGTTCAGCTGAGTGTGGGGTTATCTTCCCCTGGAACCCACCACCTTTTCTGAGCTCCTGTCCTGAAGGCAGAGCTAATGCTGAGGCAGGGCAAGACAATTCCTGGCTCCCCCAGACCCCTCTCTGCCCTTGAGCAGGAGAGATAAGGAATCTTGAGAGTGGATATGCTTTCCCTTCTTTCCAAAACAAGGTCAGTGGGATGGCCTGGCCACCAGAGGGATCTGGAAACATCCATCTGGGGCCAGGCCAGGACAGCAGAGGACCCAGTGCCGTACTGTTCAGAGCCTTGGATATGTCCAGTTCAGATGGATGGCAGCAAGTGTGGCCATGATGTCAGGTCCTGACCTAAGCCCTCCCACTGCAGGGGGTACGAGGGCAACTTGTGTAGGAGACCACAGCAATGTTGGCCCCATCCTCGCTCAGGGACCCCAGGTAGTGCCAGAAGATTTCCCATGGCCTTTGGGAGCAACAGCAAGGAAGTCCCAGGGCAGACAGAGTTCACCTGAAACTTGTAGGCACAAAGCTGCTGGAGGCAGCACTGTCCACGAAGCCTCCTATGGAGATGATGTGTGCTGCTGTAGGAGCCAGGTTCAGACCCTACAGCCTGTGTCTATGTTCCCATGATAGATACACAGGTGTGACACACAAAGCGTCTCCAGAGAAACAGGCAAGTGTGTACTTGTGCCACTGTCCAGACAGCCACCTGAGCTCCTGCTACATGGGTGTTGTGGGGAGTCACCTACCATCCAAAGGGGACTTCTCCTCTGCATTCTTGTCCTCTTCTGCCAGCATGACTTCCTCTGTAAGGAGATAAAGCCTCACGTCAGAGCCTTCCTACCACATCCTCGACTGGGCACATCCTAGGGACACCAGATGAGGGCACACAGGTCTAGAATGCTACCTGCCCACTGCAGAGATGCACAAACAGCTCAGCCTCTTCTATCCAGACGGGGCCCAGTGCAGAAGCCCAGCTACATAAGTCCATCCCATGTCCTGACATGGCTCTCACCAAGAGCAGCGATTCCTCTGAGTGAGTTTACCACAAAGAAAGCATTTGTGAGACCCCAAGAGGCATGAGCAGAGCCCAAATGGAGAGGAGCAGTGCACATGGAGGAGAGAGAACAGCTCACGTGGAGAGAGGAGCCCACATGATGGATGGGGAAGAGCACCAGCCCACGGCTTATGGAGGGCAAAGTTCAGGCCTAAAGAGCCCTGTGTCAGGGTACAGAAGAGATTCAGGGAAAGGACAGGGCACTAGGCCCCAATGTGGAAAGAGCAGCTTTAGGCTGAGCCATGCCAAAATCCTCCATTAAGTTCATTGTAGCAGGGTGTTGCCTGCTCATGCCTGTAATTCTAGCTATATCAGGAGGATTGCAGTTCGAAGGCAGCCCAGGCAAATAGTTTGTGAGACTCTATCTTGAAAAAAAACCCATCACAAAAAAGGGCTGGTGGAGTGACTCAAGATATAGGCCCTGAGTTCAAACCCCAGTACTGCAAAAAAAAGAAGCCCATTGTAGCTGGCTATGGTGGCAGACACCTATAATCCCACCTCTCAGGAGACAGAAACAGGAGTTCTCAAGTTCATGGCCAGCCTGGGCTACAAAGCAAGTGTAACCTGGGTTACAGAGTGAGACACTATCTCAAAACAAAAAAACAACAAAACAAAAAGTAGCAGCCCACTGTGCTCAGAGTCATATGGCTCTGAGATGGAGAGAGGAAGGCTGCCTCATTACAAAGCCCACGTCCATCTTGGCTTTCCTCAGCTAAGCTCCACTCATGGCCAGGGGAGCCTAGTTGACAGAGGGTGTAGTTGGGGACAAAGAATGACAGAGAGCAGGCCAGAGCTCAGCAGCCTGCTCCCACAGATGCTCACCAGCTTTGAAAATCCACTCCAGGTACCCATTCAGCTCCCGCTCAATCTGCTGCTGCCGGCGGAGCTTCAGGAACGCTCGGCGGTTCTCCACCCGCTCTCGTTCCTTGGCAAACTCCCTGGACCACATAGGCCAAAAGAGCAAGCAGAACCAGTGAGTGCAGACACCCAGAGGCACAGAGAGGAAGGGCCAGAGCAGAAGGGCAGGAGGTGCACCCCTACACTCTCTGGCTCCAGCTCTGTGCAGCACCCCCATACTGAGCTGAGGCCAGCTGTGTTCCGCCTAGAAGATGTTTACAGCATTCCTAGTCTTCTTAGCATCTCAGCTGAAATCCTCCCTCCTTAGGTCCCTTCTCTGAGCCCCAGGCCTCCCCGGCTGCCCCACCAGACTAGGAGTTCTAACTCAACGCTACACCATGGACTTGGCTGTTCTTTGTGAACAGCCCCTATGGAGGCGATAGGCTAGTCAAAATCATCTCTCCAGGAGAGAACAAGGGCTCAAACCATTCCAGCACCAGAGCATGGAGGCCTTGACCCAGCCGCTATTCTCGCTGTGACTCTTCCTTACCCAGCTAGCATAGCAGCTGCCTCTTGGGGCCACTAGGCTCTATCCCCAGCCTACCTCAGGAACCCTAGGCCTGAGCAGGAGTCTTCAGGATGGGCAGTATGGGGACATAGAGGGGATCTGATGCTCTAGTGGGGGCACAGAAGCAGGCCAGGACTGACACCCTCTACTTCCTTTGAAGCATAGCTTCCTCAGCCCTGTGTAAGAGTGGGAACCCCAAATACCAGCCCCAATTCAGGATGGGAGGATGCTGTGTGCTCACAGGCCAGATCTGTCATGCCAGGCTGCCACATCTCATTACAGTGAGGAATAAAGAAGCTCCCTCCACGGGGGGACTCCCAGCCCTGAGCCCTCTCCTGCCTTCTCCTGGAGATGCTCAGCACAAAGAGATGATGTGAGAGGGGGCACAATCCAGGGTCTGGGCAGGAATGGAAAGTGGAAACAAGGGCTACATTTATTCTCCACTATGGTGAGATGCAGCAGCAGCAGTCCCTCCATAGCAGAGGCGAAGGCCGAGAGGGAGACAGAGAAAGGAGGCCAGGGTGGTCAAGGACAGGTCAGGATGGTGGCACAAAGGAAAGGCTACCAGAGCCCAGGACTCTGGGAATAACCAGTTTCATTGCTGCTGCCCCTTGGCTTCAGAATGCAGGGGCAACCACACAATCCCCATGGGGCCTGAGAATGCAGATGGTACCTCCATGGGGCTTAAGAATCCAGGTGGTACCCCCACAAGCCCCATGAGATCTGAGAACACAGGGGGCACTCCACACACACCTATGGGTCTTACCCTGAGAGCACACCCAGCACCAGGTTGAGCATAAAAAAGGAGCCAATGATGATGAGAGGAATGAAGTAGAGCCAGTTCCAGGTGTTGCCAGCCGCATCATTTGTCTGGAAGCAAGGAGAAGGAGATGAGGAAATACAGACACATAGCATGCCACAGAAGGGCGCCTGGCCCCCTAGAAAGCTTCTTCAGAAGCAAACACCTTGCAGGGTCCAGGCAGAAAGTTCAGGAGGGTCAGAGGGCCAAAGAGTCAGACCTGCCCTTACCCAGAAGAGCTATCCCTGGGCTGAGGCTCCAAGAGGACTAGGTGTGCTTTACAACCCAGGCACTGCCCAGGAATGCCAAAAAGCCGAGGAGCAGACTGCTCAGGACACATGGTCCTGATAGGGTAATTCCCAGTAGGAGACTCACAGCCTTCCTGAGCATTTTCAAAGACATTTCCTCCCAAATGAAGGCCCACAGGCTCCAAGGCCCATATCTAACCATGTGTCTGCAGCAGAGGCCACAACTCAAGAGGCCACATGTGCCCGCACACTCATTCCCTACAAGTCCCCAGTGGATAATTCCCAGTGCAGCACCCAGGCATGACAGCAAAGAAAAGCCATCTCTCCAAGATCTTTTGCTTCTTACAGCACAGTCCACAAAAGAGTTAGCTCCCATGAACTCAATTTAATTCCACAGCAGTTATATCGTTTATGGGTCTCAGTAGACTTGGCCAAGAGAGGTGGAGAATCTTTTTCCACGTGAGTTTAGTGCTAAAGGTGGACCAGAAGGAAAATGGATGCTGAGGTGGCACCATCTGAACCTTCGCACCTTCCTTCAGAGATAGATAGTCTACAAATCGTGGGTCAGGGCTCCAACAAGACAGATGCAAGAAGACAGGTTGAGCACTGCCCACAAGCTGGGAATGCTGTAGGACACCTGCCCTCAGGTGTCCCTCAGCCCTGGCAGGATTTGCAGACTCTAACCCTGGAGAGCACTAGGCTCCCTAGATAGATTGCAGCTTGTGACTTTCTGAGCCCTGAACACTGACTCTGACTGGTCACCAAGACTCCTGTAACCCAACCCAGAAATGACATCCAGAATCCCAACTCTATCTGTAGCTCATGTTTCCATACTACACCTCTGTCCAGACCGACATGCACCTCACCTGCGGGCTGGCACACACCAAAGCTACCAACCACCCGGCAAGCACACCCTCAAAATCTCCTTCCTGGAGAAGAAGAGAGCCAGCACTGCGGCAGCTTTGCCCTCTTGCCCACTTGAGCACTGGCCCTACAACTTCCCCTTGTGGATCATTCTCTCCAGTAACCAGGTCACTCTAATTACTCTTATCTTAAAAACAAAGCAAAACAAATCAGGACTTCCAGTTCTTGGGAAGATTTAATAGACACATACTCTTCCTCACTCTCCCACTAAGTACAATTAATACTCTGAACATTATATTTAAAACAAGCACAGGAAGACCGCAAAAGATGGAGAACATAAGGCAAAACAACTGGGACCTCAGGACCTAAGGTAAATTTCCTGGGTTTTCTTTTTGCCTTGTATATCCCAGGCTTGGAGCAGAAGCCTGCACCTTGGAAATGCAATAGACATAGATAAAAATGGAAACGAAGAAAAGCCAGCTCTTTGTAGCCAGGCGGCCAGAACAGGGAGACAGCTTAGCAAGATAGGAGACTTTTAGACTGAAACTTTAATGCAGTTGAACTGCTTCAGCCCAGATATCAAAAAAACCCTGCTGGCAAAGCTCCCTGGGGAGCCCAGACTTCCACCCTCTCAGACCAACCACAGCCTCAAAGAAGGGTACTATCAGAGAAGGCCAAGAAGTGAGGAGGCCTCACGGGAAATAAACAATACATTGAACAGAATGAAAATGAGAAGACAGTTTATCATATTTGTAGGACACAGCCAAAGCAGTACCAAGAAGAACCTTGTGTATTTAAATGCATTCATCATGAAGGGAAATATTAATAATTAAGCTTCCACCGCAAGCAGCCAAAAGAATGAAAAGCAACATAAACCCAAATTAAGCAGTAGGAAGTAAATAATAAAAACAAAAGCAGCAATCAACAAAACTACAAAGGGAAAAACAATACAGAACACCAATAAAAAATAAGAGAACTGGTTATTTGAAAAAAGTCAGTAAAACAGACAAACTTCTAAGAATACTAAGAATAAAGAAGAATGAAGACACAAATGACCACAATCAGCAATTAAGCAGACCCATTAACATCAAAATGACAACAAGAACACCATGAACAACTTTACATACGTCTATTTGACAACATGGATGAGATGGACCCCATTTCAACAGAAAAAAGGTGGGCATGGCAAAGCACACCAGTCATTCCAGCACAGAACTGCAGTCCAGGCTAGCCTGGGTAAAAATCAAGACCTCATCTTCAAAATAACCAGAGTAAAAAGGGCTGGAGGCATAGCTCAAGCAGTAGAGCACCTTCCTAGAAAGCATGAAACCCTGAGTTCAAACCACCAAAAAAATTGCACGTATGTATATAAACATACATATATGTTGATATATATGTATGTATATGTATATACACATGCTAGTAAAATTTTTGAAAAATGAAAAATTGTAACTTATCGTGTTAACTAAAGAAGAAAAATCACATTTGTATCAAAGCAGAAAGAGTCTGACAAAATTCAGCACCCATTCATTACAAAAACTCTCAGAAAAGTAAGAGGGGAACTGCCTCAACTTGATGAAGAGCACCTACCATCCTCACCCCACCACCAAATCCAATGCTACAGATAACAGGAGTCTCTCACTTAATGGTGACAGACTGAATATTTTTTCCTGAGATTGGAAGCATGCAAGTATGTCTGCTCCCACCATTATTACTCAACATAGTGCTGAATATTGTAGCCAGCACAATAAGGCAAGAAAAGGAAATAAAAGCCTACAGATCAAGACCTATAGACGAATAAAACAGAGAGTCTTTGAAATAAGCCCTTGACTATATGGTCAAATGATTTTTGACAATGGTAATAATCCATTTGGTGGAGAAAGGGCAGACTTTTCAACAAATGGTGCTGGGAAAACTAGATATCTACAAGCTGGACCCTTATCTAACACTATATATAAAAAACAACTCAAAGTGAATCAAAGAGCTAAATGTAAGACCTTAAAAAATTAGACTCTTAGAAAAAATATGACAAAAGCTTCATGATCTTGAATTTGATAAGTTGGACTTCATGAAAATTTCAAAAGAGAGCAAAGATGGAGCATAAAAAATGGGGGGGGGGATTTACAAATCCTATGTTTGATAAAGGATCAACATTTAGAATTTTATACAGAGAACTCATAACAAAACATAATCTAACTTAATCTAATAAAACATACAGAGGACTGTGTGCTGAAAACTACAAACTCCTAATGCAAGAAATCAAAGACAATCTAAGTAAATGGAAAGTCGTGCCCCATTTGATGATTGGAAAACACAACATAATAAAGCTGTTAATTCTCTCAAATTGAATAAAATGAGAAGAATTCTGTATCTAATTTCAACATTTACATACAACTATAGATATTCAGGCACTGTGGTACTGGCAGAGATAGGGACAGACATGTATCAGTGGAACTAAAACAAACCTACACAAATGTGCCCAAGTGACTTCTAGAAAAGGCACAAAGCAATTCAATGGAAAAAACACAACCTTTTCAACAGACGGTGCTGGGGCTACTAAATGCGCATAGGGAAAAGAGGAGGGAGAGAGGTAAGAGGTAAGGAAGGAGGAAGAAGGGTCTCAATTAAACCTTTCAACTTATACAAAAATCAACTCAAAATGGAACACAGACTTACGTACGTGTAAAATGTAAAATGATTATAAAGTTCTAGGGGAAAAAATACACACACACAAAAGAAAATTTTCAGTCCCAGCTACATGGGAGGCAGAAATGGGAGGATAACAGTTTAAGATCATCCTGGCAAAAAAACTGAGCAAGACCCTGTCTCAAAAACAAGCTGATCGTTAGTGGTGCACATCTGTAATCCCAGCCATGCAGGAAGTGGACATAGGAGGATAGCGGTCCAAAATAGGCTCTGAACAAAGTGCAAGATCCTATCCGAAAAACAAACTAAACACAAGAAGGGCTAAGGGGAGTGGCTCAAGTAGTACAGAACTTGCCTAGCAAGCCCAAGGCCCTGAGTTCAAACCCTAGTTATTACCAAAAAAAAAAAAAAAAAAAAAAAAGTGAGTTTACTTTCAGGAGTAGGATTAGGCAAAGTTCTTAGACTTGGTACCAAAAGCCCAACCCACAAAAGGAAAAAGTGATAAACTGGACTTCATTAAAACTAAAGAACCAGTGGAAGGGATTAATTCAATTATGATACAGTTGATACACTGTAAGAACCTTTGTAAATGCCACAATGTATACAGCACAACAATAAAGGGAAAAAAGTGCAAGGAGAAAGAAAATTTTAAAAACCTAAAAATGTTCTGTTCTGTGAAAGACCAACAGGACAGCACAAAAAGACAAGGTACAGGCAAGGAGAAAATACCTGCTAACTATGTATCTGACCTGGAACCTAAAATACACAAAGAACCCTAAAAACTCTGCAGTCAAGAGTTCTCCAAACAGGACAGGGCAAAAGACATGAAGAGTCATTCCACTGAAGAAGAAACTGCAAACAAGCACGAAAAGACACTCAGTATGACTGGCCATGAGGAAACGCAGATTGGAACCGGTGATGTCACTTCCCACCTGTCAGGATGGCAAGAGCAAAAACACGTGAGCATGGCCAGACACTGGCCAGGACGCAGCAAGACTGGATCATCTCACGCTGACAGCAGGGAGGAAAGCATGTGGCTCTCTGGGAAAGTGTTAAGTTTCTTAACTAAAAGTACAATTGTTGTGCAAACATAAAAGGTGAGCTCTCGGGCATTTATCACAGAGAAGTGAAAAACTGTGTTTGAACAAAAATCTGTGCACACATGTGTACAGCAATGATATGCAAAATAACCCAAAACTGGAAATGACTCAGATGTTGTGCCACAGGTGAATGGTTAAACACACTGTGGTAGCTCCACACCATGGAATACTGGAACCACTAGCACACAGAAATCCAGACTGATCAGAGAATCGAGCTGGAGTGAAATGACTGATGCCAAAACGTTATGCCTGGGTTTCCCCACATAATATTCTTGAAATGGCAAAATATCAGGCATAGTAAATGGATTCGTGATTGTCAAGATCAAAGACGAGGGAGGGCAGGAGAGAAGCGGGCAGGCCATAAAGGATCAGTGCAGTGCCAGGCACCTTTGTAGTGATGGGATTTCTGTATCCTGTCAGTATCGGCACCCTTGTTGTGATATGGACTATAGCTTTGCACATTGTCATCATTAGGACAATGAGGGTAAAGGGTACGTGGGTCTTTCTGTATGATGTCTTACAACTTCATGTGAATTTGAGATTCGTGACTTCAAAAATTCTTTCAATTAAAAATCCAGTTCCCATCCATGTTTATTGCAGCACTATTCACAATAGCCAAGTTATGGAAACAGCCAAGATGCCCCACCACTGACGAATGGATTAAGAAAATGTGGTATCTATACACAATGGAATTTTATGCAGCCATGAAGAAGAACGAAATGTTATCATTCGCTGGTAAATGGATGGAATTGGAGAACATCATTCTGAGTGAGGTTACCCTGGCTCAAAAGACCAAAAATCGTATGTTCTCCCTCATATGTGGACATTAGATCAAGGGCAAACACAACAAGGGGATTGGACTATGAGCACATGATAAAAGCGAGAGCACACAAGGGAGGGGTGAGGATAGGTAAGACACCTAAAAAATTAGCTAGCATTTGTTGCCCTTAACGCAGAGAAACTAAAGCAGATACCTTAAAGCAACTGAGGCCAATAGGAAAAGGGGACCAGGAACTAGAGAAAAGGTTAGATCAAAAAGAATTAACCTAGAAGGTAACACCCACGCACAGGAAATCAATGTGAGTCAATGCCCTGTATAGCTATCCTTATCTCAACCAGCAAAAACCCTTGTTCCTTCCTATTATTGCTTATACTCTCTCTACAACAAAATTAGAAATAAGGGCAAAATAGTTTCTGCTGGGTATTGAGCAGGGGGGAGAGGGAGAGGGCGGAGTGGGTGGTAAGGGAGGGGGTGGGGGCAGGGGGGAGAAATGACCCAAGCCTTGTATGCACATATGAATAATAAAAGAAAAATGAAAAAAAAAAAATCCAGTTCCCTTAACCCCACATCTCCCTGCAGCCACTTTCCACTGCTCTGCTCCTCAAAAGGATGGTCTACACTAATGCCCTCACTTTCTTACCCCTGGTGGGTTAGCCCACACACTCAGAGTTTCGGCCCCACTACTGAAAGTGCTTCTGGCCAAGGCTAGGGATGTAACTGAGTCAGCACAGCACTTGCCTGGTGTGCACAGGGCCCCAGTTTACCAACAACCTGCGTCTTGCCACATACAATGGTCAGGGTTTCTATCCCTACTTCCTTGGTCTTTCAGCAACATCTGGCCCAGTGATCACCTTCTTGAGACTCTTTCTCTGCTCTGCTCCTGAGACAGCACCTTCTGCATCCCTCCTGCTCCTCTCCAGCTCCACCACAGCCTCCTTTGCCGACTCCTTCTTTGCTACCGGCTCTGAATGTGGAATCCTCTCAGGACAAGTCTGCGTGCTTCTCTTCTCCATCAATACTCACCATGCAGGTATCTCAGCTCTCTGTGACTTGAAACACCACCCATGTGTCACTGACTTCAAACATACATCCTCAGCCCTGCTGTCCCTTCTGAGGCCCTCACATGTCCAACATCTCCACTCAAATCAAACAGTTCTTTCAAGACAAAGAAAGCCAAAACAATCTTTGATTCTTCTTTCACTCACACTGTACATCCAATCCATGTGTGAATCCCATTTGTATTAACATCAAAACACAGCCTTCCCATCTAGGTATCTAAGCACTTCCTTCCTTTATGTAACTCGAACAATGAGCATGAGCACATCTTCATTAACAATGTCATTTACGCCTGTCATTCCTCTGAACATGGCCAGTAGCAACTCTTACCTGTCCCTGAACGAAAGTTCAGACAAGTCCCATGACTTTCCTAAAAACTCTAGGGAAATAGAAAGTACTACAACCACTTCAAGTTGAAAAACAGCCTCGAATCAGTGATGGAAAATGCCCAGACCCTGCTGATAATAAACTGTCTGACATGCTTCTCAAAGCAGCTGCCCTCCTGAGCTGGCTGCCACAGCTGGCACTTTGTGGGAGAGAAAGCATGGTTCCTCAGTGTTGCTCCACACCCAGCATTGCTCCTGCTTCCTCAGCTTGCTGCTGTCAAAGCAGGGCAGTGAGGACAGGTGATGAGCAAGCTTGTCCTGGTGGCACTATCCTCAGGTAATCCTGCCTCTCCAGTCTGTGGGAAATTGCAGGGCATTTCTGTCAGCTCTTCTGGAGCCCTGTGTGACAATGCTTTCCAAAGCACAGGCAAGCCACTTCTCCTCTGGCTGGAGAGCCCCACCCTCCCTACCAGCTTTTCCACAGTCCACTCTGAGCCCCAGAATTCTGTGCTGGCTGCAGCTAGTCTAAGAGATGCTGCTCCCAACACTGAGTGAATTCTCCTTCTCTCTCCCTCCACCTGTGCTGCAGGACAGTGGCTTCTGCCCACAAGAGAACCCAGGCTCTGCCTCCCGAAGGGACCATGGAACCCCCCCACCTCTCACTGGTTTGGAGGTGAGGGGAAGGCTCTCTCTCTCTCTAATCTTCTCTAAAATCCTGTCCAATCTCAACAGCCAACCTGTGCCATTAGTGTAGAGGGGTAGATCCAGCTGCTCTGGGCTACCTTCTCTGGTCTCACATGATGCCGGCCTCACAGGTCACTGCCACCACTGCAACCTGGCACCTCAGTCAAGCTTTCAAGGCATATTCTGTAGCATTTGCACCTCTGATTTCTGGGCTTTACCAGGCCCCGCCCTCCAGAGCCACTAACTCATCATCCCTGTTCTTCGCCCTCCTTTGTTTGTGTCATGTCACTTACCATTATCTGGGTCCTTAGAGACTGAATGCTGCCTGCTTGCCACTGTACAAACTGTACCTAGTGCCTGGTGCGGTCTATTAAAATATGTGGCCCTCCTCGGCCATGCCTCCCATCATTCCCTCCCTGGGGCAGAGACAGGGACAGAGGAGTTGTGTCATGTCACTTACCATTATCTGGGTCCTTAGAGACTGAATGCTGCCTGCTTGCCACTGTACAAACTGTACCTAGTGCCTGGTGCGGTCTATTAAAATATGTGGCCCTCCTCGGCCATGCCTCCCATCATTCCCTCCCTGGGGCAGAGACAGGGACAGAGGAGTTGCGTTCTGCAACCACTGGCTAAGCCCAGTAGGCTCTGAGGATGAAAGAGACCTGGTCACAGGGCCCTTTGTTTGGGTGGGGCTGGCAGGAATGTGGCCAGCTCGGAACTATTTTTATGTCTGTCTTTGTGGGAATTGTTTTTTGACTGGCTAGTGAGAGAAAACGGCACTACCTTTGTCCTTGTTCCTCATTCCCTCCCTTGGTCTGCCATCAGACACAGCTCTCACTCAAGATGGAATCTGGCTCAATGGACCCTGGGCCAGCTTCTGCTCAACTCTTCCTCTGCCATCTGCCTGCTCAACAAGCTGGACAGAGCATTCCAACAAGCATTTACCAAACACCCTCTGAGTGCCCAGCTCCAACATCAGTCTTGGTCCGCTGAGCCCCTGGGGAAGCATAGAGCAGAAGCCCCCATCCCTCTGTTTCCTCCAGACCACCAGCACTTTGTGGACACAGCTGCTAGAGACCAGGAGGAAAGCACAGGGGCATATGGCCCAAACCCCACCCTTAATGCACAACTGACAGGCTCTAGGTGACAGCACTTATGTCCCAGTCCCGCCACCACCCAACAGCATCCCAAGCAGAACACAACTCCCAAAAACTAAGGCTCCACCAGCCATAGCTTCCCATATTCCTGGCTCTTGTGCACTTTGTTCTCCACTTTTCAAAGCCTAATTTAATGGGTCTCATGGCCTGGTGGCTCACAGGACTTACAGGGTAAGTGGGATGGGAGGTAGCCAGGGGAGGGGTCCTTCATATAAAGAAAAGTCAGTGGTAGAGTCACCAAACCGAATCCCAGGTAGAAGGGAAATGGGAGTGAGATGGGTCACCAGGCCCCCGAGAGCTTTATCCTTAACTTCCATCATGGCCACCAAACCCAGAGAGCCCTGAGCTGCTGACATGGCCTGAATCCTAATGAGAGTGAGGAGAACAGAGCAGAAACGATACCAGATAGACTAGATACAAAGGGAACAGACGTTCAAGGCCCGGCTCCCACTCCACGAATCTCAGCATGACTGGGGTCTTTTCCTGGGCCTCAGCTCAATGCAGTCCTGCCCTGCTCCTCACTAGAAAGGCCCCCACAACTCACTGACCATTGACTCCATCCAGAAGACTCCAGCAGATGTGGTGTGGCTGGCAATTAACAACAAGCTGCCTGCAGGCCTAGGCTTGGGCAAATTAATCAGCTTCTGTGACCCAGTTTCATCATCTGTATGTATAGTGAGTCAACAGAGACAGTACCACACATGCTGCGAGCATGAAGCAGGCTCACAGTGAGCAAGAGCTACTGGTGTGGCTGCTGCCGTCGCCATGGGCAACAGCAGCATCCTCTGTGCCATCTTATTTTCTGGCCTCACCACCAGCCCTCAGCTTCACCTTCATAAAGAGGTCAAGAATTGAGACTGACCACAGGACTCTTCAATGGAGTGCCTGGGTGGAGACACATGTATTTCATCCTTGGGTAGGAGAGGGGTGATGAGAACTGGGGAGAAGCTCATAGTCAGAAGTGCCCCCAAGTGAGACCTCCAGAGGCACCAGTCCAGTAGCTCCAGGGCCCACCCTCAGGCCCAGAGTCAAGATGCAACTCACATTGTAGAGGATGTCCGTCCAGCCCTCCATGGTGATGCACTGGAACACTGTCAAGATGGCAAACAGGATGTTGTCAAAGTTGGTGATACCAAAGTTGGGTCCTGACCAGTACTCCCGGCACTCGGTGTCGCCCTCACATAGCCGGGCTGGGGCTTCCTTGCCACAGGGGAAGTCGCCCACAGGTTCTGCATCTGTAAGGAGGACAATGAAGCAGACCTGGCTCAGAAACACCAAGTTCTCTGACCCCCACAGGGAGTTCTGAGCTCTGAGGAACTCACTGCAGATGGGCAGGGACTGGCACTCCAGAAACCCTGCAGCAACTCCTGGCACATCTTGCATCTGCATCAGGCCTCTCCTCCCACCTACAAGTGCCTCCGCCTAAGCTCAGGAATCTAAACTTAGGAATCCCTGGTTGGCCTCTCTCTCTCTCCTGGAATCTACCCATCATCCTCAAACATGCTCAGGACCCTTTCACCTTGAAATCAAAACCAACAAACTCTTACCCTTCAATTCTTCATACCACTACCACCCTGATTTCTCCTCTCCCTACAGCCAAGTTGCAAGGCTGATAAATGATAAATGCTTGTAAGGAAGCCATCACTTGTCTACTTGTAGACAACTGCATCTTCTGTGAATAATGTGACAGTTTTGTTTCCTCCTTTCTAATACTTGTCTCATGGCACTGGTCACAACTATCAATGCTACATGGACGACAAGTGTCTGTCTGGGCCCTCATTTTCTTCCTGACTTTAGAGGAAAACCGCCCAATTCACAATCAAGTTTGATGTTTGCAAAAAACTTAAGAGAATTATCTTTTATTTGCAATTTGATAAAAAGATTTTTAAAATCATAAATGATCTAAATTTTAGAAGCTTCTAAAAGATGACCATATGAGTTTTCTCCTTTAATATGTTTATACACAAAAACCTTTCTTTCTCTTACACATGAGCCTCAAAAAATCCTCTGGCTTTACCTATGAATCTATAGCCAGAATGTAGCCCAACTACCTCTACCAAACACCTAGACTGGGGTCTTTTCTCACTCAACCTGCTTCTGCCTTTGTTTCCCCACAGCAGTCAGAAAGACCAGAAAATGCCACCCCTTGCCCAAAGCCCTTCTCTGCCTTGAGAAGAAGACTCAAGTTCTAACCATGGCCATGAAACCCATGAGTTCCCTCTGTAGGCACTGTTCCTCACCTGGGCTTTCACACTTACTGCTCCTAGTAACTGAAGGCTGTGGCCAAGTGACCACACAGCTGTCCCTTTCACTGCATTCAGAGCTCTGTTCAACTGTCACCTTAGCAGAAAGGCTTCCCCTGGCCCTCTCAACAGAGCAGGCCCCAAATTATTCTATTTCAAATATCTTTTTTGTTTCCTTCCTAGAAGTAACTACAATCTGTACTATTTATTTATGTGTATTTACATATTTGTGTTTATCAAGTCGTTACTGGAATCTAAGCTCAACCTCACTTGTCTAGAACCAAACAAGGCCCTCTAGCACATAAAACAGTGCCCACACCCTAGACAAATGAGTCTGTAGTCCTCACCTGAGCCCAAGGGGTGCTGCTAGACCTCACCTGTGCTGTTGGGGAAACAGGCCTTGTGGAATTTGCCCATGTAGAACTCGAGGCCAATGATGGCAAACATGAGGATGGCAAAGAAGAGAAGCAGCCCAATCTGCAGTAGTGGAACCATGGCCTTCATGATGGATTTGAGCACCACCTGCAAACCTGGAACCAGAGCAGGCAAGGTAGGGAGGGTCAGCAAGCAAAATGGACAGAGCAAAGTAGGAGTAAGGTAGGGGTGTGGGGAGAGTAGCAAGAACCTAGGAAGGGGTAGGGTTGAGTCCTGTGGCTAGATGAGAGCAATGAGTGTTTATCGGGCCAGAGGACAGAGCTGATAGCCCTCAAGGAGATGGAGCAGGGAATGATGGGAGAAAGAATAGAAGAGTGAGTGCTTATGTTGGGCAAAGCAAACAGTCCTTGGGGACAAAGCATGAAATCTTAGGAAGAGGAAAGAGAATGAAATGCAGAGAAGGAAGAGACTCCTGAGAGAAAGAATAAGAGAATCTTGAGAGAAAAAAATAGGGAATCTTGGGAAGAGAAGACAATGCTGGGAGCTAAGAGTAGGTTATCCTGGTAGGGAATTCTGAAAGAATGAGGCATCCTGGGAATGAAGAACAATGAATGCTGGGAGCTAACAGCAAGGAATTCTGAAAGGCAAGAACAGGGAATTCTGGGAAGGAAGAGCAAGGGATCCTGGGAGGGAGTATAGAGCACCCTGAGAAGTGAATACTGGGGTTTCTGACAGACTCAACTCCTTGGGGAAAATGAGGCAGGTCCACTCTCCTCCAAAAACAGCAAGTATTTTGCCACTGGCCATAGGGCAGGAGAGAATTCAGGCTAGAGGAACTAGGCAGAGGAGGCTACAGCCCATAACCCTCACCCTTCCAACCTGACCCCAACTATTAGATACAAGCCAAAGCCCTTGCCTGTTGGGAGTAGATTGGGAAACCAATGATCTTTCTACTTTGGTCTCAGAAGAATAATCCTAGGTCCCTGTCACCCAGGCCTCTAGGTAAACCTAAAGTCAAATTTCCTCTGGAGTGGATAACAGAGTTAAGAATAGTCACTGGCTCACAAAGTCCCCTGGTCATTCTCCTGTCCAGGCATGTCCTCCTTGAGTGGCTCAATCCTGAAGTATATTTGATGGCCAGTCTCAGATGCCCATGGCCCTGCCAAGCCTGAGCCAAAACAGGCTGCCCTTTGCAGTCTTTGGGTATTTTTCCAGGCACCCTGCCCCACCACCTTAGTTAATCTCTCATCCGTCCTTTAACTCCAGAAAATGAAGCAAAGAGTTGGAAATACAGCAGTTTGTAAAGAGGAGCAAAGCTTCCATCTAGGAAAGCCAAGTCAGGATAGATAACAGGGTCACCCTCCAGGATTTTGTGGAGAATAGACCGAAAAAGATCAGTTCCTTCCTTCCTCATGCCTGGTTTCCTGGAGTCAGGAGTGGCAAGCTTAGGGGTTAAGGGTGCAGCTCACTGGTGAAGCATGTACTTAGCATGCATGAGGCTCTGGGTTCAATCCCCCATGAAAGAAAGGGGGGGGAGAAAGGAGAGGAGAGGGGAGGGGAAGGGAGGGGAGAAGAGAAAAAAAGACAGAGACAGACAGACAGACAGAAAGAAACAAAGAAAGAAAGAAAAAGAAAAAGTGAGAGAGAGAAGGGGCAAGCTCAGTCACCAAGGCCAAAAGCCCACTACTTAGGGCTCAGTGTGGCCAGGGATATGTGTGGTAAAGATAGGGAAGAGGTTGGTTTGGACTTATCTTAGCTGGACTCACTCGGAATCCCAGACACCAGCTTCAGGGGCCTTAACACACGCACAGCCCTCAGTGTCCGCAAGTCGAAGTCAGTTCCAGCCGTGGCAAGGATCCTGGGAGGAGCAAGGACAAGTGAAGTAAGAGTTTCCACATTGAACCTGGAAGAAAGCACATTCCTCCCACCATCTGTGTCCTTCCTCTCAGAGCAATGACACATTCATGCTTGTGTTTTCTACCATCCAACCACAAGCCAAGGGTGAGGCTTACCAGGCAAGGTGAGGCAGGAAGCAAATCCTGAAATCCTCACCAGGAATGTGGGCTTTACCTGTGTGACCACCTCTCCAGTTCAAAGGCATCAACTGAGTGGATGCTTGACTACCAGCCTGGCAGTGAATCTGTCCTCCAATTGAGTCTACACCTGAGCCATATCCCTAAGTCAACCCCAACTACACTGTCATGCTGCCTCATAACAGGTGACAGCAGAACAAGAACAGAATAGAGCCTGAGGGTCTCCAGAACCATATATCACCCTTCCGTACCTTATCTTATAGAGAGAAGGGGGGCTAGGAAAATGGAAGGGAGGGTTTGGAAGACTTGGAAAAACATCATGGAGTGAGGTCAGCAAGAAGACCAAATGAGTTGCCCGTCATTCATTCCCTTACTAAAAGGATCACAACAAAAACAAAATAAATGTATTCTGATTCAAGTGACTGAGGAAGTGTGCTGGAGAGCAGCAGGGAAGTGATGAGATTTCTGTGAAACTCAAAACTCTAAAACACACTATTGGGAGGAGAGCAAACCTCCCTGTGTCTCCCACACTGCTCCCTTACCCAGACCAACTTGGAGCTGAAGTGGACTTCTCCTTACAGGGAAAAAGTAAGCTGGATACCCCCAACAGTCCCCACTGATGTTGCAGACTCCTGCATAGAAGACTGTCATGGCCCTCACAGGCCCTAAACACCACTGGGAGACTTTCCAAGAGTTTATACAGTGGTATTGCCAGAGTGTTTACACTGTACACACTCCACTCCACGCCATCAACTAAGCTAAGAGAGCTTGACACTAGCTTGAAACTGGGTGAACTAGAATAAACTAGAGTGGATCACACCCTGGTGGCCACAGTACATCCTTATTCTTGAAATTCCTGTTCATCCCATCATGCTCACACAGGTGGCTCCAGCACCACAGCCCAGCAGAAAGGCTGAGACCAGGCTTCCAAAGCTATGTGCACCCATCTCCCATGGACCAGGTCAGCTTGCCAATAGCCCAGCATACCCACATACACCTGCACATGGCCTGACAGTCAGACAGGCATTGGCCCTTCTCCTCCCTCCAAAGAGCCCACCACATACCCAAGCCTGGCCTAACTGACAAACAGCAACCCTACCCACCCCAGAAGGCCTGCTGCATGGCCAGTCAACCTGTAGCAATCTCACAGACACAAGCCCAGTCCAACAACCCACCAGATAAAAATCCTGCCCAGTGGAGAGACTACCCATACCCATAGGTGCCTTCAGGGCACCTGACAGCCAGCAGGGCAGCATCCTTGCCTCCAGCAAAACCACACCACACCATCAATCATAAACCCCCTCAGCCTAGGCCACTGACACAACCACAGACATTGCTGATAAGGACTACAGCTGAACAGTGCACAGGAACCACACTGTGGTTCACCCAGAATCAAAGCCAACACACTATTACCCAACCCACAAAATTAGAAAAGGCAATTACTACACTAGATATGCAGATGTCAACATAGGAACCCAAGAAACACAAGAACACAGTGTTCTAACAATAGACCCCAAAGAAAAGGAAATTTATGAAATACCTTATAAGAAATGCAAAGTAATAATCTGGTTCAATGATATACAACACAGTACAAGCAATTCAGTTAAATCAGGAAAAAATTCATAATCTGAATGAGAAATTCAACAGAAACAGACATCATAAAAAGAACCAAACAGAACTCCTGCAGCTGAAGAATTCAAAGCATGAAATAATAAATGTAACAACAGACTAGGTTAAAAGAAAAAAATTTCTGAACTTGAAGACATGTACTTTTAATTAATCCAGTCAGAGGAAAAGAATGAACAAGAATGAACAAGGCTGGGCATGGTGGCTCACACCTGTAATCCTAGCTACTTGGAAAGTGCAGTTTGAGAGGATTGTGGTTGAAGACGAGCCTGGGCAAAAAGTCAGTGAAGCCCCATCTCAATTAATAATCTGGGAGCTAGCGGTAGGAAGATTGCAGTCCACGGTTGGCCAGGCAAGGACACAAGATCCTACATGAAATACACCTAAAGCTGAGGGAATGACTTATGTGGTAGAGCACCTGCCTAGCAAGGGCAAGGCCCTGAGTTCAAAGCCCAGTACTGAAAAAGAAACAAAGAAAATCTATGAGTCATCATTAAGCACATCACTATCTGCATATAGAAGTTGCAGAAGGCAAAGAGATGATGAAAGGCACAAAAAGACATATTAACAAATGGTAGCTGAAATCTCTACAAGTCTTGAAGAGATATGGACAACCAGGTCCATGAAACTCAAAGAACCCTAATGAGATTCAACCCGAAGCGGTCCTCTCCAAGGTACATTAGAATTGAGCTGTCAAAGGTTAAAGAAAAGTATAAAATTCTAAAAGCAGCAAGAGAAAAAAAGGTCACATATAAAGGAATCCCAACTAGACTAACAGCAGATCTTTCAGCAGAAACCGAGCAGGTCAGGAGAGAGTGGTATATAATCAGAGTGCTGAAAGGAAAACTGGGAGCTAAGACTGCTATACCCAGCAAAACTATTCTTAAGAAATTAAGGAGAAATAAAGTCTTTCTCAGATAAGCAAAAACAGGTTTGTGAGAAACAAAAAAGTTTTCAAGACTCCAACCCAACAGAAAAAAGTTGAGTGTGGTGATATGCACCTGTCATCCCAATGACAGCAGGAAGCCTAAAACAAAAGGATTGCAGTCCAGGCTGGCAGGAGCAAAAAGCTAGACCCTATTTCCAAAATAACCAGAGCTAAAAGGGCTGGAAGTGAGCCTTAAACAGTAGAGCACCTGCCTCACAAGTGCAAAGCCCTGAATTCAAACTCCAGGACCAAAAAAATAAAAATAAACAGGAGTAACTCTAGTCATATAAGATCACACAGACTTCAAATCATAAATTCTAAAAAGAGACAAAGCCGTTGGTCCTAACAATGCAACTCAAAGAACTGAAAAGAAAGAATGAAGCCTACAATTAGTAGAAGAAAAGAAACTATCCCAAAAAGTTGAAAGGAAGGGAATTACCCTCAAACAAGGACACAATGAAAAGGAAAGAGAAAAAGAAAGAAAAGTCTTCTATACCATGGGAAATAGTTTAACATACACAAATCAACGATTCACCGCTTCAACAGAATGATGCTGAAAAAGCATTTGATCAAAATCAACAACCTTGCCTAATAAAAAGTTCTCAACAAGCATGGAAGGAATGTACCTAAACACAAGGTCATACATGACAAACCCACAGTAGGTATCTCACTAAACACTGAAATAGAAGCATTTCCTCTAAGGTCTGCAACAAGACAAGGACACCCACATTCACCACTCTTACTCAACATCATACTAGAAGTCCTATCCAGAGCAATCGGGCAAGAGACAGAAATAAAGCACCTAGGAATAAGTGTAATCAATGAGGTCAATGAGCTCTACAATGAACACTATAAAACACCAGTGAAAGAAACTGAAAACATCCCTTGTTCATGGATTGGAAAAATAATATTATTAAACTATCCATACTACTAAAAATGGAGGGTCAGTTCTGGTGTAGTTTTAAAGACTTATTGTCATGTTAAAATAATTGATAGCATATGGTCTTAGGCAGGAAAAGCTTGAATGGAAATGAGGCCCAGAAAAGCCCTATCATATGGAGACCTGAGGATTGACAGAGGAGATAAAGGATGAAGCGTCAGCAAATGATGGTGGGAAACACAGTATTCCCCATGCAGACAGATGGCGCAGACTTCACAGAGGAGTCCAGGTGATCACAGGCCCCTTGAGAAGACAAACTGCAAAACCTCAAAGAAAGTACAGAGAGCAGGCATGGTCCTGAAAGACAATGCAAAATTATAAACTATAAAGCAATAAGCTGATGAATGTGACCACAATAAAGTTAACACCACAAAACATATGATAGAGAAAATGAAAAAAGATATTTCCAGTGTCTAGTACTGAGAAACAGTTGATTTCCAGAATATATAATTAACTGTGGAACAGGTATACAATGATACTATTCAACAGTTAAAACAGGCAAGAATGTAAAATTAAATAAACCTACACATATTAACAATGTTAAAGGGTAAAGAGATAAGTTATGAAATAATTACATATCTATGCACAAATACATGCAAACAATATGATGGATACATAGTATCCATAGTAGGATACTAGGCATACAAGGTAAAAGCGGGAAGATCCTCCTACAGGTGCATGCACCTAAATGATCAACACAAATTAGGATAGTTGCTACCACTGGAAGATAAAAGAGAAGAAAGAGAAAGAATGTAACTACAGGACTGTATCTGTAATACTTTATATCTCCAAGAAAAAGTTCCAAAGTTAGCTGCCAATTTACAGGGAAATATGACAAGGAGAAAAAGCATGTTAAAACACAAGGACATGCAGTCAGAAAAATGTAGACCACGAATAACACAAAGGGTCCAGAAAGAAAAAGGGACATCTGAAAAGCTCCAATGCCATTGCCAGGAAGACACAAACTACCTGGGGGAAAGCTGATTTCCCCATCATCAGCTTTTCTCCCAGGCATCACCGCTGGATGACATGCCTGGCACGTCAGCAACCTGGCCCTGGGAGTACCTGCTCACCAGCAGGCAGGAAAGACACAGACCTGATTTCAACATGCACCACTGGCTGTGGTCCTACAGGACAGAAAAAACTTTTCTTTTTAAGTGAAGGATTCAAAACTGCTCAATCCCAGGCAGGAATCTATCTCTAATCTTAGACATAAAGATACAAAAGCCACCCAGGGCTATGAGCAGTCCTGTGGAGTAAATCACAGCCAGCTGCAGCATGCCAGGGCTCCAAGGTCCAGGATCTGAGCGAGAGGACCAGCTGCCCCATCC